TCAATGTAAAAACCCGATTATCTTCTACTTTTCCATTTTTTTTTAAATCCGGGCACAACTTTTTATGTAAAATATGGCATTGCTTTACATATTCCCATATTTTGTTTGATTAAGTTTAAAAATAAAATAAAAATTCGATTTTACCCTTAAGAAAAGGCGGTGGCACGGCCATTTTTTCAACAAACCTTCCTTTCACTATTGTAGACTCATATCAAAAAACTAAATACAAAAATATTGTTTCGTTTCGAAGTTATTAATTAATGCCACAAGAAGTGGTCAAATGCCCCATAGTGCATTGCTTCGCACGAAATGTGTGTGATCTTGTCCGCATGTGTGCGGCTGTGAGTGTTTCTTTGTGTTTGCGTGTTTGTGTGTGTGTGTTTGTGTGTGTGTGCGAAGGAAGCTTTCAAGCGCTGTTTTACTTTTTATTGATTAGCTGATTGTTGAATTTGTCGTTAGGTGTATTTATTTTCTTATTGCGTTATGGCAAACTAAAATCGGAACGGAACGAACGAATCTGTACAAGTAATAAACATGGAAATCAATATCTAAGATGGGCAAATAACAACAATTGACGGTGCTTGGGGTCTATGGCTGTGGCTTTCGGCAACTGCGTTTGCGTTTCGGCTTGGCTCATTGTTTTTTGGTTTTGTTTTTCTTTTTTGTTGTAATTTTTGTTGGTTGGTTTAGGTTGTCGGATACCTCGTATTCCTGCGTTTTGTGCTGACACCACTGCAGAAGCTGATCCTTGACAGTGGCAGCGCGCGCATTTAATGCCGGATCGGTAAATTTGAACAGCGGCTGTGACGAACCGCCGCCGGGGGTCGTAGGTGTGCTTGTTGTTGGAGATGATCTGAACAAAATGATTCAAGGTGGGAGGGTGGCAGTCGTTTTAGCGAAACTCACACAAACAAAATAATTTCTTCAGTCTTCTCTTAAGTTCTGTTTTTGTTTTTCAAATTGTAATTTTTTGTACTTATACTGGGGTTTTCGATTTATGTTTTTGTATTACTTTTAGTTCGTATGGGTTAGGGTGTGGGGGGCGTACATACATAAGTGTGGCTTTGGATTTGTTTGTATATGTATATGTATATGTATATGTATATGTATATGTATATGTATATGTATATGTATATGTATATGTATATGTATATGTATATGTATATGTATATGTATATGTATATGTATATGTATATGTATATGTATATGTATATGTATATGTATATGTATATGTATATGTATATGTATATGTATATGTATATGTATATGTATATGTATATGTGTGTGTGTATTGTTGTGTTCAAAAGAGAAATAAAACAAAAATTATAAAATAACTTAAAAATGGAACAGCTAAGGCCGTTCTCATGTTCGTTTATGTCTGGACATATACAAAATCCAGAAAGACAAAGAGCGAAAAATAAATAAAAAGGAAAAGAGAGACATAGAGAGAGAGAGAAAGAGTCATGTAGAGACACACAGAGCGAGAGTGAGAGGAGAGAATGGAAAGATTGATAATGGTGGGTTATTCACTCTCATATCAACATCAACTTCATCATCTGAACTTTGCTGTTGGGGATAACGACACTACAAAAAGCCTCCATGGACAGAGCCAAAGACATGGAGAGAGAGAGAAAGCACAGAACCAGTCACCAAGGAGGAACGGAACAGATCAGATCAGACGTGCCCAGTGGGTAACCGCGATCATTAAGGGAGTTGGATTGAGTAAAATACAGATAGCTTGTACATACTTATGTACATATTTTTTATGTATGTTTGTATGTGTTGGATTTTAGGCGTGTGCATGGGTGCATGGTGCACCATTGACCAAAATGTTGTTGTGGGGTGGCGGGTGAAGCGTAGGGATAGGCAATCATAATCACAACTACAGCGGGAGCCCTAATAAGTAGGCAACAGCAGTGGCAATTACTTTGATATGATTGCTTCTCCCGGCCCGAAATTCGAATCGATTGTATGTATGTATGTGCATATGTATGTAGGTACCTATGTACATACATATGTATGTATGCTTGAATGTACGAATATGTTTACATGTTCATATGTATGTATGTATGTACATGTATGCATGTTCTAACGTATAAAATATGCAATATAAAAATGTTGACTTACTTTTGGGCTTGTTGGGCGGCCGCCTGCTTATCGAGTTGCTTGAATTTGGCCAAAGGCGAAATGTTCTTCGAGGCAGCGCTGCCGCTCACCGTGCGTGTTGTAACTGTAATTAGAGGAGAAGAGAGATAGCGAGTAATAGCAAAAAGCAGTTCATTTGCAGGCAAGGTGAGGCGGCATTCCCAGAGATCACTCTCACTGCAAATTGCAAGTTGGTTTTGGTAGCACTTTGTTTTATACTTTTCTCGTTTTGTACCTTTTGTGGTTGTTGTGGTGACGCCATCCTTCGACTTGGTCTCGCTGCGCTGTTCGCTGGTGGTGGAGCTCTGCTGCCTGTGCTGCTGCGCTGCTGTGTGTGAAGAGAGTTTTAGTGCGTTTTGATCGTGTGTGTGGACAGGCGGCAGGCAGGCAGAGCGAGGAAGAGAGAGAGAGAAGCAAACATTACAAAGATTAGTCGGGTCTGGGCATGCAAGACAAATAAATCAATTACATAATCACGTAATTATCAACATTGGTGGTTATTCATATTACAAATGTTTTTGTTTGTGTTTTCTGACAGGCAACAAATTTACACACTACGAAACGTGGAAAAAAAGCACACATTCGTCGGTTTCTTTTTTTTTATGTTTTTTTTTAGGTTATGCTAAGCGCTACATACACAAAAAGTAAAGCTACGAAATAATTAAAAAAACAAGGAAGGCTAACTTCGAGGCAGTCCGAAGATTTTGATACCACCGCAAATGGATTTATGATTCAGATTTTTTATAAATGTAAATTGAATTGTTGGAATGTCTTTAAAAAGAAAGCTTTTCTTATTCAATAGCCAATGATCTCCATATGTAAATATATGTACATATGTACATATTTACTATGTATGTACATATATATATGTTTAGGTATTACAGACAGACAGACATAGAATGATCTCAGGAGTGGTAATCCCTTCTGCTGGAGTATATTAATTGCATAATTTAAGGCTACAACGCTACGACGCACAGCTGTCTGAAGCATTTTCCCACGCTAAAGAAACGCACTACGAACATGGAACAATGACAAGCCCAGTTGGGTATGGTGGGTTATGGAAAAAAACAACAACACAAAGTGGCAGCGAAGACCGTCGCTGATGGTGTGGCTGAGGTGGTGGTGTGGTGTTGCTGCGGCTGCTGGAGTTGCAAGTTGGTTTTGGTGTGGCCTTATGGCTTAGCCTTATGGCTACAGATACTCGTAATTTACATAATCATATGTATGTATGTTTGTACGTATGTATGACATGCACGATTATGCCTACAAAATTAGAAATAAAACGAAAGAACGAACGAACGCATGCGGGATCCGGAGGTAGGGGTGGGTGGTGTTATAACAAGAGCAGGTCAGCAGACTGAGCGGCAGCTGCTGTCGACGACAAAATTCAAATCAAAAAATCATATACAATTTTCCTCATCTCAACTAATGTGGGGTGGGTTTCGGGCGGGGGTGGTTGTGGGTGGGGGTCGCTATATGTACAAAGAGAGAAAGAGCCACATGGGGGGTTTCCAATGTATGTGTTTTTTTTTTTCGCTGAACCAACCAACCAAACAACCAAACCAATCAACCAGTCAGTAAATCAATTAAACAATCAATCAATCAATCAACCAACCAAACAATCAACGAGCAAAGGAGAGCAAAACGTAAAGGAACGGAATAAAAAAAACTAACGAAACAACGTAACGTGATGGGTGGTACAAGACGTAAGGAAACCAAAAGAAACGAAACGAAACGAAACGCATTGGGAAATAAGCGACACATTTATAACGGTTTGTCTGTCTGTATGTCGGTGTGTGAGTGTGAGTTTGAGTTTGTGCGTGGGAGAAGAAATATACAAGCAATGCACACATATATACACGTACATGCATACATATGCAAGTACATACATACATATAAATATATATAAGAATATAGCACATACATATGTATGTACATATGTATGGTACAGTACGCTCGTTACTATAATTTAATTTCATTCAATTCAGATCGGCCCAGCCCAGCCCTATGATGGAAACACGATTTATCGTTAAGTCTTTGAACTTTCTGAGTGTGTCAAGATTGAATGTCCGAAAATTATGCCTTTGAATTCCTGTTTGAATAAAGTTTGCGTGCTCAAAAGGTTTTACGCAAAGGGCGATTCTTAGAGAGTCTGGAGAAGGAACTGATCCAATTGTGATCCAATGAATGTGCACTACGCTGTATAGATCATTGACCTCTCCCTGGTTTTGAAAAGTAAACCCAAAAAAACGGACTCAACGCACAGTGATCTTCCACAAAATCCCACTTTCCAGAACAGAAGATTCTTCTGTTGTCGAAGGGAACCTAAATAATATCAATCATAATGCTGCTCTAGCATTACTTTGTTCGCTCGTAGCTAACCCTCCCATGTTATTCCAATTCGTTGTCAAAGACTGCACAGAGTGTACTGTACCATATGTGTTGGGTTGCTGCGGTGCGCATGGGGGAGGGGGTTTGGGCAATAATAAGTTTCTTGGTAGTAGAACGCTTTCTGGGGAGTATGAAAACGGGGCTTGCAGGAGAATGCAGGCTTCTGGGCTACTGCTGCTGGTGCTGCTGCTGCTAGTGGTGGCATTTTTGTACAATTTTATCGATTGGGCGTGGCGTGCTTTTATTCGGTGGTTTCAAAACTCACGAATCTCTGTAGTTGGTGTTGCTGTGGCTTGTTGTTGTTGCGGCCTCGTTGTCCTACGACTGTTGGGTGGTGTTGGTGTTGGGTGAGTTGCAAGGTGGCGCAGTGCAGCAGATCATTTGATTTCATGTGAGGTGTGAGACCCGACCGGACCCGAACCGACCCGGCCCAACCTGACAATCTCCCTGCTGCGCATATTCTACTCTTGCTCCTGTATCAGAATCTTAACTCTACCCCTAACTGAGAGGCCGAGCGAGAGAGACTGGTGGCAACAACGGAACAGCAAGAGAGACAGACAGACAGAGAGAGAGAGAGAGAGAGAGCACGATATGCGTGTGGAGAGTGGGGAGTTCTGGTTCTATTTCTGAACTAAACAAGAAAAATACAGTCTAATCTTATGCTCAAAGCTCAGAAGGGCAAAGAGAGAGAGAGCTTGAGCTTGCTCTCTCCAGTAATCAGTTGCCTTTTCAGTTAAACAGTTATAATTCTGTTTCGATGTCGATATCATTTTCGGTGCTTGTTTTTAATCCTTGCGGAATGCCTGTCGCGCATGTTTGTGGCTTGGGGCTTGGGGCTTAGGGCTTGGGGGTAGGGATCGCTCCGTGTGTGTGTTTGTGTTTTGTAAGTTTCTGTCTGTCTGTCCGAATGGGTGGTTGGGTTTTTTGTTTGTTTGGGGCTGATTGAATGGAGAGTGGTTGAGTGGTTCGTTTGAGTAGGTGCGTGACCGAACGCCTAGGCCCCCATCATTAGCTGCTCAAAGGCATCCTCCACATTGCTCTCGTCCAGCAGATTGAGATTCGCTATGTGCGGCATGGTGGCACTGCGACTGAGCCCACCACCACCGCCGACGCCGACGCCATAAGCAGCCACACCACCAGCATTTCCGCGACCCAGGCCCAGTCCGGCGGTGGACACGTTACCATTGGAGGTGCTGGTCAGGGAGCTGAGCGACTTGCGGGCCGCCGCCGACAGCTTCTCGCTGGTCTTGGTACGATTGATGGCGGACCTCCGACTGGCGGCTGCCGACGAGCTGCTCGTCGAGGTGGTTGTCATTGTGGTGCGCAACTCCTCCACCTGTCCGCCCGTTGGCGATTTCTGGCTGGAGAAGTAGGCAGCCACCGTGCGCTGCTTTTCGCTGATCTGTGCCTTATCGATGCCCGCCTCGTATAGCTTCGGCACGGCCAGGGAGTGGCCGGACTTGCAACGTCGCAGCTCTCCGGGTGACGTGGCGCCTGGCTGGCTGTACTTGGCCTGGCCCAGTCCCAGACCTCCCTGCTGTTGCTTCTGGCAGATCTGGTTCCAGGAGTCGCACTTGCTCAGGCGATTGATGCGGGATCCGGCTGAGCCCTGCTGCTGCTGCTGGAAATCCTCGTCTTGGCTGCGACGGTTCATGGAGCTGAATGCACTCACATTGTTGAACACTATGTTGTGGGGTATCTCGTCCTCGGGCGGCACCTGGGACATTGGCTGTGGTGTTGCCGGCGTCTCCACAATGCTGGGCTTCTGCTGTTGATGTTGCTGCTGATGCTGATGCACCACTGTGCTGGAGCTGATCACAGAGGTTGTCGTTGTTGTTGTGCTGCCAGAGTCACTCATCTTGTTCAGCTGCGGACTCTGGTATGCATTGGGCACGTAATGGTGCCTCTGCGGCGGTCCAAATTTCTTCAGCAAAGGTGCGTTCTCCCTCGGCAGCGATGACTTGACTATGTCCGGCGTATCCGCCGGTGCCGAGGACTTGTATTCCTCGTGCTGCTCGTGGTAGGCCATCCGCTGGGCAGTCTCCCGCTGCTCCAACACATTTCCCAGACTCTTTCGACGCAGTTCGCTCAGATGTTGTAGCTCCTTCTGCTGCTGCAGCTCCTTCTCCTGATGTTGTGTCCTGCTGGAGATTGAGGAGCTAAGCGACTGCTGGGACATCACACGGTTCCTTAGGGGCTGCGGAAGTGGCTGTGGCTGCTGCTGATGGTGGCCATCGTGTCCGGCCACGTCCTCACCCTGGATGGTATGGCTGCGGGTGCTCAAGCGGGGTCTGCTGTTAGTCTGCTTTTGGACTGGAAATAGCTGCGGCTTCGTGCTACGATCCACTGGCGGTGGTGCGGATGTGGGCACGGATACGACTGTGGCTGGTAATGGCACTGGCACTGGCACTGGAACCGTGCTGTGCATTGGATTTGGTGTCCAGCTGGTGCTGCCCAATGACAGCGAGGAGCTGGCATTCGAGTGCTCCGAGGTGCGACGGAGCCGCTGGCTCAGCGACATGGACATGGTTGATTCCGGCTCGTGCTCGTCCCCGGACTCGTCCAGCGGATAGGTGACCACGTAGGATGTGTGCGTTTCCCCCAGGTAGCCACCACCCACATCGTTTCGTGTCTGCGGCAGTGTGTACGTGGGATTCGCTTGGTAATTGACCACCGGGGGAGGAGCCACACTGGTGGGCGTGACTGGCGCATATTGGGGCTTCCGCTGCGACTCAAAGCTGCTAAGCTGCGGGAAGAGCGGCTCCACCATGGGCGCCTGGTACTGACGTCCATCCGGCGATAGGCACACACCTGGCTTCGGGGAACTTGGCGCCGTATGGGATTGTTGCTGTCCCCTGCCCTGCTGCTGGCTGCTTCTAGGGAGTGAAACTGGCGCTGGGACTACTGCTGGGCCACCTCCATTGGTCCCACCCAGCTGCTTCATGGTGTACAGCAGCGACTTGGCTGCCCGCGAGTTGCGACCGAAGACATCATCATCGCTGAGGTGAGCCGTTCTAGGACCGGCCACAGTCACGGCTGTCTGGCTGCGTGGCTTGCGCATCACCTTCGTCTCGGCCCGATACTCCAGCATATTCGTGTCCGAGTCCAGGTCGAGATCGTCGTCTGTGTTGTCTGTTGTCAGGGCATGGTCATTGGGTACGGTGTGTAAGCTGGTGGGACTGTTGGTCGGACTGTTGTCCACATCCACAGGACTCGTCACGTAGTCAAATCTGCGACTCGATCCGCCCGTCGGTGCCCGTGCCCCTGCCCCTGGCAGGTAGGTGGGATTGGAGCTGGTCAGCACCAGAGGTGCTGCCAGTGGATTAGTCAGTGCCTCTGCCTGATCCACGGCACTGGTCAGGCACGGTTGGCTGCGGTAGGTCTGTCGATTGTGCGGATTGCGATTGCGCACCGGCGAAAAGTTGGAGTACGTAAAGGATATGTTAGTGGGCGACGGAGGCGGTGGCTGGTACAACTGTTGGCGAGATCCTCCCGCTCCCACTCCCACACCCGGCACGATGCCGGGCTCCATGGCATTGGGCAGCGAGGGCCGCTTCTTGAACTCGCTGAGCGACGCTGGCGGACCCTTGGAGCGCAGTGAATTATGTCTCTGCAGGTATCCATGTCCGCCGTTGGAGCAGGACCCAGAATACTGCGGCTGCTGCTCCAGGTTGTCCCGCAGCGAACGCTCCTCAAAGTGATGCGCCTTGCGGCGGAAATCGCTATTGTCCACCTTCGGCTTGGCCACCCACGGCAGGCCGATGGGCGAGGTGGCCGTGGAGGCTGGCGATGGCGTGTTGCTATACGGGAGCCGTGCGTGCAGATGCTGCTGTTGCACGGGAGGCTTGCCCTGCCCCGTGGGCTGCCAGACTGCGCCCAGCTGTGGCTCTGACTTCTTGGCTATGGGCTTGTAGATGCTCGGGCCCGTGGGCGCATCCTGATCAATGGGACGGAACACGGACTGGGGAGCGTGTATAAAGTGGTTCAGTGGCTGCTGTTGTTTTTGTTGCAGCTGTTGCTGTTGCTCCCTTTGGTGCTGCAGTCGCACCTCCATCTCCTGGCGACGCTGCCGCTCCAGCTGCTCTTGCTGCTGTCGCTGGCGGTCTAATTGTTGCTGACGGTCCGACTGCTGGCGCTGCAGCTGCTGCTCGTAGCACTCCCGCTCCAGGCGGACGCGCTGTTCACGCTCGTACCTGGCCTCCTGCTCGAGTAGTAGCTGGCGTTCGATTTCCTGCCGACGCTGGCGCTCGGCTAGGGCTTGGGAATGGGCTTGGGCGGCAGCCGTGGCAGCCGCTTGCTGCTGTTGCTGTTCTCGCTGAAGATGTTCTCGCTGTAGCTTTTCTCGTTGCTGCATGTCACGTTGGATTTGCTCGCGTTGCAGGTGTTCTCGGTGCAGTTGCTGTTGCTGTTCTTGTTGGATTCGATGACTCTGCTCATGCTGCATTTGTTCTCGCTGGCGATGTTCTCGATGGCGCTGCTCGCGCTGATATTGCTCTCGCTGTATCTGCTCTCGCTGCAACTGCTCTCGCTGCAGCTGCTGATGATGCTGATGCTCCTGCTTGGCCCATCCCGGCACATGGCAGGGCACTGGCGGCGGCTTACCCTTAGTCACGGTGGCCGCCGCACCCGTCTCAAAGGTGTGCTTAATGTTCCCGAACTTGTGCGTCCAGTTAGATACGCTGCGTCCTCCGCCGCCGCCACCACCCCAGCCCAAGCCCGTCTGATGGCTCTGTTTGTTGATAAAGGCCAGGAACTTGTGATCGTTCTCCGTCTTGGGCTCGAACGGTGGCACGGCATTCTGTACGCGCCGCTTAACGCTCACCTGAACGGCACGCTTAAGGCCCAAATGAGGCCCATGGTCGTGCTCATCCTCCATGTCCGAGTCCGTGTCACAGTCGGCCATGTACTTGGCCTTCGCCTTGGGTATGTCGATGGTATTGGCCCGCTTCATCATATGCTTTTTGGCACCATTGAAGCGGGTGGAGGATGTGGCAGAGTTTGAGTAAGATCCCTCTTGCTGTCCGCCCCTTTGGGCAGACTCATAGCTGGCAAAGCTCACCGCATAGTCCCCGGACAGGGGGCGTCTGTTGTTGCTGCTGTTGTTGTTTGGCCTCAACTGGGCCAATCCCTGACATTGGGGGGCTGGAATCTGCTGTTGCTGTTGCACTGGCTGCTGCTGCGACTGCTGTGGCACAAACTGATTGGGTCTGTAAAGCTGTACAGGCGGTATAATGGCGCCCGAGCTAACATTCTTCTGCAGAGCAAAGCTCTTGTTGCTCTCCATCAGCAGCATGTCCTCCATGTAGCGCCTGGCATCCGCCAGCTCCTCTCGGCTGACCCCCACAGTGTGGCGGCTGTTACGCTGTCGTCGCTTGGCGAAACGCGACTGCCGGCAGTCGGAGCGGGGATCCTCCATGCCTCCCAGTTCCAGTTCCATGTCCTCCTGGGTGGGTGAGGCCTTTTCAGAGATGCCGCTGCTGTTGTTATCCGCCGCCAGCTTCTCCGGGGCATTGAGTCCACTCTGAAGGCGGGCAACGAGTCCGAGCAGTGCCTGACGCTGACCCCCATCGACGGCCAGCTCCTTTCCCTGCTTCAGGGAGCTCTCCAGGCGACTGAGGGCGTCCGTTACCTCCTCGAGGAGACTGCGATGTGCCTCGCTGGCATCGCTGACGCTCCGCTGCCGTAGGGTGTCCCTCAGTCCTGCGGCCAGCAGGCGCAGATCCTCGCCACTTTCCGTACCCGAGTCCTCCTTGGAGGGTACACTCAATCTACTCACACCCGAACCCGTCTCTGATCCCGCTACTTCAGCTCCAGCTCCAGCTTTTGGCATTGTCTCTGGCTTAGCTTTATCCCTGGCCCTAACCCCTGTGCTAACCTGACTACTATTCTGTTTCCTACCGCTAATGCTACTGCTGCTGCTGGCTGATCCTGCTCCTGCTCCTGCTTTTGCTCCTGATTTGGCTGCTGGCAGGGACTCACCCTGCTGCACCTTCTGGACACCGTCTGTTGTCGCTGTCGAGGATGTGGTCGTGGATGCTGTGGCCTGCTCGGAGAGCTCGACTTTGGCCAACTTTTTGGTTACACTTTCGCTAACTTTGGTCTCCTTGGAGGCCACAGATGCCACAGAGGCTAAGGAGGCTACCTTCTTCTCCTCCTCCTTGGGTGGCTCCTTTTTGGTAGTCTCCTTGTCGTTGTCGTCTTCGTCGTCGCTGTAGTCCGTCACCTCCTCGATGATCTCCTCATACTCGCTGGCACTGCTCTTCTCCTCCGCCTCCTCCTCCTGCCTAGAGGCTGCGGCTGTGTTCTTTTGCTCTAAGGCGCAATCACCGTACGACGATTCACAGTGGAGATTGAGAGAAAGTAAAAAAGTTAGGAGATAAAAGGAGAGAGACAGAAAGAGACAAGATTTAAAACGCTAGTAGCGAAAACTCAAAAGGAACGGAACGACGACATCAAGAAAGCTAACAAAAGCTCGGCGGTCTCGTGGACACGGAAACCCGGAAGAAAAATGAGAGCTCTCTAGTCGTTCTCCAATCCCAAAATCGCTTTTTGTCCGTTTCAGCGGGGCACCTAAACTTTTGTGTAATGCCTCGAGCAAAATGAACATAGGAGGAACAGATACATATGTAAAACATATATATAGTTATAGATATAATATATAGTTATAGTTATAAATGTGGAGATATTCAGAGATAAATAATATGTGAATCGATGGATCGGTTCCAGTTCATTGTGGGTCTTCGAGGCTGGGGGCACCTTGACAGACGTTCTCACTGAGTGAAACGATAACGTGGTAAAAAACAAAACAACGGTAACGATAACGATGGCAAATAACGGTAACGTGATGGCGTGACGTGACGTGACGAGACGAGACGACGAGTGGACCACGACTTGGACTTGCTTTGCACATATTTGATTGAGATTGAGATAAGTGTTCTTTTTGGTGGGGAAAAACCGTGGAGCATGAATTGGAACAGAGCAACAAGTTTTGATGGTTGTGTGTAATACCTTTTTTTTTTTTCTTGGGTTTGGGGCCCTACACCGGGTAATCGATAAATCGATTAAGCCTCTTCTTCTACTTTTAGTTTGTTCGATTTACAGTTTAGATTTTAGAGTTAGAGCCTAGGGCCTAGAGTTGCTGGGTGCGCTTTATCCTACAATATACAAGATACAGAACACAATTTATATCCGACTATAATTATCGATGGTTGCATCTCCTTCATCGGCTCTCGCTGGATGTCACTGGAGGGTGCAGAGCAATATGTGGCTTGTGAAGACAGAACCTCCTCTGGTTCTGTTGCTTTTTGCTAGGTGTGGGGGGGGCTTTGTGCTCAACAGATAAATATAGAAATGGAGACTCACCTTCGCGTTCCGCCATAAGTTCGCGTAGACGTGCACGGATCTTGCGACGCTCCTCGTAGGTGGAGGCCTGTTCCAGCTACAGAAAGTAAACAGGAATGCGAAAGGTGTTTTGATTGTGGATCAGATTCACCCAGAGCCAAGGACTGCCTACCAATTGCTTTAGGATCTGCTCGTCCTGTATCTCCTCGATGTGACAAGTTGTGCGTGTAACTGGTGCTGAGGAGCTGCTGCTGCTGGTGACCTTGCTGATGCTGCTGCTAGTGCCGGTGCCAGTGCCAGTTCCCGATTTGCTGTAGGTATTGGTAATGCGTGTACTTTTTACCTAAAAAGAATATGGATATGTGTCGTTGATGTGGATTAGCATGTCTTTTCATTCTTTCTGGTGTTTGTTTATTAACCGGAAAATGTTTTTCAATGTTTCCCCCCCTTGCTTCTCTCACTCTCGTTCTCTCTGTCTATGGGTGGGTGATGCCATGCCATGTCATGCCAGCTGTTCAGTCTGGCTAAATAAAGCATGATGAGCACATTCGAAAGCCAAAAATTATTCTGTTGCCAAGAAACTGGCAAGGGAGCCATCTCACGACCGACAATCGCTTCGACATTCGACGATCGATGGCTATGATAAGGAAAACTGTCCTTAGCCATGATTCTTTGGCGGCTTTCTCTCTCTCTCTCTCAAATTTGCTTCCGACTGCAGTTGACTAATTGAACCAAGCAGCGGGGCATACCTCTCGTATGCGTAATGTGTGCGTATATTATGTATGCAACACGTTACACCGCAGGCTCCAAGGCAAATGTCACTCTATTGTTTACTGTTTTTTTTTTTTTGGTTGGTAAATGAATTCATCTATCAAATGCAGAATCAGCGAATGGAATGGAATATTTATAGCAGTTCCAAGAGTTCAAATTCAATCGCTTGGGCACCAGTTAAGGAATATAAAGCCCTTGATAACCGAAAGGAATGGGTCTCTTATTTGTATTTTACTGAATCATTGAAATATTTATATTATATTCGAATTATATAGAATGTTTTACAGAAGAGCCTCAGATTCTCCCAAGATGTGTAACCTTATGAAGCTCACTGGCGTGCATTATATTTGGCATTTACCAACCACTGGGCATTACCCACCCCCTCTGAATTTCAAAGAAAGTTCATTGCCAGACATCAAAATGGCAAATATAAATTTTGATTGCTTCAAATCAAACACAAAAAGCATTCGTGCAAATATTTGCATGCCCCAAGGAGCATGCGGTTAAAACGTTTAAAGACCTTTAATATATATATGTACAAATATGTTTGTATTTACATAGATGTATGTACATACTTACATGCATACATACATACATATGTACAAGTAGATTGCAATTAAGTATGAGATGTTGCCTGTTTGATGGGGGAATGCCGAAAATATTTGTGTTCTACCACTGCTTTTGCCTCAAAATCTCTCACTCACTCTCACCCTCTCTTTATATGTTTTTCGATCTCTTTTGGTAGATTGTTTATGTGAAAATTTGACCAAATTTGGTCAGCCAATTGGGGAAAATTGGGGGCAATTTTTCAAAAAAGCTTCCACTTCGAACATGTTTGAAAGTTCGGCCGATGCTTCCTGCCTCTCTGCTCTTCTGGTCTGTTTTTCATTCCACACGCGTTGCTATTTATAATTATAAATTATTTAAGAACTCACACACACACATACATACACACATGGAAACATTTAGAGACAGAGGGAGGAAGGGAGAGAGATATACATATGAATATTTTTGGTCGAAAATAATAAAAAAAAACGTTCTTCATATTTCTTTCGCTATTTTCTCTCTCCCTCTCTCTATTTTTCTGTCTTTCTCGTATTTTCTTGTTCGTTTGGATCTTTGACCAAATAAAACATTATATAATATTTGTGACCCCCCCAGGCAACCGATCTAAACAAATAAGAACAAACAAAAATAAAGCAACAACAAAAATCTAATAATTCTCAACGAGCCTAAGAAAAAAAATTAATTGCCAAACAATTTTACAATATTTGTCTACAAATATTTATATTTATTTTGTTTTTTCTTCTTTTTTCTCTTTTATTTTGAGTCCACTGAAATATTCACTTATTCACTTTGGTTGTTGCTTCTGTCAGAATGTGGGCCACAAAATAAAATACAGCAGTAAAAATGTCATTTGATTTGATTTAATTTCATGTGGATGGGATGGGATAGAATGCTCTTTCGAGATGATGGTTCGATGTACATATGTACAAAGGCAAAGAGCCTTTAAGGCACTTGCCAAGTTATTTGGCGCAATTCCGCCAAAGCGTGACAGGGTACGTTTGGAGAGATGAGGCTGGTGATGTGCCTGGGGGCGGTGGCGGGTAATGCCCCGATCAAGAGGAAAATGCAATCATGCGTGCAAATCAAAAATGGTAATTGCATGAAAAAACAACAACTCAAGAAAGGAAAGCAATTAAAAACAACAAACTGTTTGGATCCAAAAGGGGAATGTGTTGGTACAACGAGGAGGAAGTGGAGAAAGGAAAGGTGTGGGAAGGGGTAGGAGAGTGCAGCTGACCAAATCGAACATTGCATTTGGCGTTAACAGTGGCTGCACTTGTTTGGCCATTGACTCAACTCAACTCAACTCAACTCAATTGCTTAACATTTTGACACCACATCCACGAGGAAGAAAGCAATTGAAAATATAAAAAATGTTTAAAAAGAGATGGTGACACGTGAGATGGTAAGAGAACAAAACGAATGATTGATGGAATCAAATTAGTAAAGAGCACCCCCTCCACCACCCCGACCAGCAGCAGTGACTTCCCTGAAGACCTTCTAAAACGGCTAACGAAACCCACCCAATTTTCAATGGGAGAGAATAATTTGTCTCTCGTTTCTCAGACAGACTTTCTTTCTTTTTCATTTTTCGTTTTATACTTTTTTTTGGTTGGTTTTCTTTCTCATTCTTTTGTATTTTTAGCCTCTGGCAAAATGAGAATTATTTGAGATGCAAAATGCGAAGCAAAGACAAAGGGGGCACACAACACGAACAGACGCAAACGCACACACTCCAACAGCAAGAACAGCAGAAACAACAAGAACAACAACAACAACAACAACAACGATTATGAAACGTCAGAAGAGAAGGAGAGGGACAAGGAGACGGACAAGGAGAGGGAGAGAGAGAGAGAGAACAGGCAGAAGCAGAAAGAAAGCTGAATTTTGTAAAACGAAGAATTAAGTACACTGCTCCTCCCTTTTGTTTGGCTAAAATGTGCATTGAGATCGAGTAAGCGATAGCTTTGCAAATTGAAACAGATCGCAGCTAATGTACAGCTAAGCAAAGGAAGAATCAGGAATATAGATTTGTACTCTGACTGCATATTGCAGTGCAAAAATGAGCATACCTCTTGCCATTTTAAGGGTAGAATGGCTAAAACAGTGGAGTAAGCAAACCGGCTTTCCAGCTTTGAGGAGCACTTGGCCAGTCAGCCAGCTAGAAATCCAGAGAGAAATAGAGAGAGGATTTGAGGAGGATTTGCCGCTTGCTCAGAATGTTACGCTCAACGAGGTACAGGGGGCAACCACCAGCACAATAACACACCTGGGGGAAACGGTCAACAGAAATTAAATTCACGCCTGGTTCCCACTTGGATCCATTGTGGTGGATGGATGGTGATCTGATAGACTGAATGCCAACTACATACAATGGAAAGCCCTTTTTAAAGGGCTACCTATGCTACCCATGCTACCATGGAGTAAACAGCACACGCATTAATTATAAAAGGGTTTACACACAGTACGTGTGTAATACTCTCTGCATTTGTAATCATTTGTATGAGGGAGGAGGGCAGGTAACGACAGCACTGAGTGGGGCAACCGAAAAACTACGCATGCTGATTATTTCGGAAACTTTAATGGACAGAAAAGTACATACATATATACAGACATATGTTCATATTTACATAGTTCTACTCGGTAGTCGGTCAGTGAGTAAATGGGCTTGAACCAGTTTAAATGTGAAATTTTTGAATGTGAGAAAACTCGTATAAAATACATTTTGTGACCTGACTCTAATGATGCTTGGCATGTGGTAATTATATCATTCCGGACTTTTAAGGTTTTCCATGAACTTTCCATAAGCTTATAAGAGAAAAGAGAACTTTATTTACACAGTCTGAATTATTCAAACTTTAATAGAATATACAAATAAGAGAAAGATTCATACAAAAGGGAAACGAATTGTTCTTTAAAACAATACGATTTCATGGCAATTGGATTTGGATTATATGAAGCCAATTTCAGTTGACAACTCAACAAAAATAAAGACAATCTTTTGAATAGAAACGGGAATTCAAATATCTATGACATATGACATATACATATGACTACTGTGCACTCCCAGCTGATCCGCTCTACGGTTGATGCATCCATTACTAGCCCTGTATTTAGCTTATGCAAACAAATAATTATCCGTCCCACACTATTCCAAGCTACGACTACGACTATATGCTAAGTATATCTTTATCTGTATCTATACATACAACTTATCCATGTATTTATGTATCTAACAAAGTCCCAGAGCATTGCAACGGCATCGACGAGGGGAAAAAGCTGTGCGATCAGTGGGAAATTGGTATTTGGTTCACACACAAGTGGAAGAAAAACGGGAACATCACATGCCACAGAGTCGGGCAGCAGCGCGCTGCTGCGTTGCAATGTGCGTTTGTTGCTGCACCATGCACCACCAGCTAGCTCTGTGCTCTAAGCTCCCTGCTCCTGCCCTGGTCCACCATGTGCGTCTCTGTCTGCAAGTTTCCCAACAAAACAAAAACGAGAAGGGACGTTTCTTACGCGTCAAAACTTTTATACCCGGCACTCAGTACTACATCTGCACCTTAGCGGTTATTTGTCAAATTTTAACTTTTTTCCTCATCTGTCATCTACACCAACAACACTACTCACGCCAACACGCTCCTTTAGCTCGCCTCCCTCCCCTAGAGCCACACTCTGCAGAGTCAGGGCAGAGACGCGGCAGACGCAGAAGCCGCACACTGCGCGAAGCAGTGTGTGAATGAGAGAATGTGAAAAAAACAACAAGAGCTGCGGGACGGGGTGGGTTTAGCCACTGCAAATGTATTTCTTAATTCTGGCTATAATAATGATCCAATCGTATCAAAATTTGGTGATCTGATAGATTTGGTCATTCCCTACGGAATGGCGTTTTATAGTTTTTTTATCTTCAAAATCTGGGAGGTTTTCGCCCTTTTAAGGGACGGAAAGGGGCGGGGCTAATTTTTTAAATACACTGGTTTCAGTGTGCGCATATAGCAGTGTGGATGGTGGCTCTAGCTCTTATAGTCTCTGAGAACTAGCCGACAAACAAGACGGACAGACGGACAGACAGACATGGCTCTATCGACTCGTCTATTGATGCAGATCAAGAATGGTTGGGGGGGGGGGGGGGTTCGTAATCGCTTCCTTCTGTACCGTTATTCGCACAAATGCAATATACCCTATTTTCTCTTCGAGTACCGGGTATAAGAAGAAGGAAAATAATCGGAAAATGCTCCTCGAACTATCACAGACTGTAAAAATACTGCCTGCCTGCCCGTCGTTGGAGCTATTTTTGTCGAAATTTTCCGTACATTTGACGCTCTCATTCATGCATCCCTCCTCCTCCTGCTCCTCCTCCTATTCGCCTCACTCTTTCTTTTTCTTAGCTCTGTTTTAAAAAAGTATTTATTTATTTTTTTGTTACTCTTTCTGTCTGTATGCACATATGTATACTCAAACACACACACACACACACACACACACACACACACACACACATAAATAAATGTGTTTATATATAGAGATAGAAAATACATGTATGTACATATATCGGTTTATATATAGCTCCTCGGATGGTGTCGTCTACTGCTGTGCCTCCTCCTTTCTTTCAGGTGCATTTTGAGGTGTCGTGACAGAAATTCCCCTGTTTGTTGCTGCGTTGTACAGACGGACGGACAGGGCAGCAAATTATGCGCACTACAAATAATTGACTCGAACAGCTGCTCCACACCTCTCCTGCCAGACTCTCTCTCCCGCTCTTTCTTTCTTGCTCTTGTTCTACCAAGATCTCATCTGTCTATGTCTGTGTTCAGCGTGTATTGGGTGGCTGGGCGGAGGGGGCAACATAGGCAACACTCTGAGAGCAGACACACCCTCTTCTCCCCCTTTTTACTGCATCCACACGGTAAGTTCCGTTTCAACAGTGTAGGCTAATCTAAGATCAGGGGGAGTGAAGGCGTGCCATTGGCTTACCTTCTTGGAAATAAACCTTGCCTCTCCTTGCCCCGATCTCTCTCTCTCTCAATCAGAACTTACGCTTTGCTTGTTTTTTGCTTCTTGCGTGCGGTTCTTTTGCTACCGCTCCCGTTCTAACTGCTGCTGTTTCTGGCTGCTTCTCCTAGCGGTTCTACGGCCCCGCTGCTGTTGCTGCTGCTGCTGTTAGACCAAATATGGATTCGCCCGACACTCGCGTTGCTCGCTCTCCCGTTCGCTCTCTCTCTCTCTCGCTCGCCACAGCACAGGAAAATAACAATATTTACAACAAAACTGCACAAGAAAAAAAATTAAAGAGCGAAGAAGCCAGAAACTTGTATTCTTTTGTTATTTTACTGCTTCTTTTTCTTTTCTACTTTGATTTTGTCGTATTTGTTGATGTTTTATTTGTTGTTGTGATGATTATAAGCCTTGTTGTTTGCGAGAAATTCTTTCTTTCTTTCTTGGCACTTTTTGCTTTCTTTCTTTTTTTTCGCCTGCGTGACTGCCTCTGCTGCTGATATTGCTGACTGCTTTCTCTGCTTGTCGCCGGATCAAGTAGTTCTTTGCACAAGTGATCGATGCCGCCTCTGAGTGTGTACTGACGCCGTCTCTGTCGCTGTCGATTCGGATACGGAGAGATGCCGCTGCCGATGCCACTGCCGATGCCACTGCCACTGACGATGGCGATGCTTGCTGCTCTGACCAGCCAGGTGGTGCCCCTCACATCACGCATACGGCGGCGCACACGGCACACGCAACCGCAAAAGCAGCAATAGCAACAACGACAGCGACAGCAAGAGAGAAAGAGAGTGCACGAGAGGGCAGTGGGGAGAGAGGTGCACAGAAAGCCAGAGAGAGAGAGAGAGAGAGAGTGCCAGTGGTAGTGCCAGGGATAGTTCTAGTGCTAGTGCGAGTGCGATCACTCACTCGGTGAACCGTTAGTCGGGCACATGCTTGGCTCTGGAACTCTTTTGAGGTTAGTTTTATAGTTTTCACTAACACATCCCATACGGGGCACAGGATAAGAGGATGGAGCCAACGAAATTATCAAATGGTCGAAGCTTAAAATACCCTTGCAGATGCATTGTTTCATATGAATAACATCTGATATTACTTGTATTTGAAAGATACCGACAAATGTATGCATATATTTAGCCATATTTATGTTATGATCTTTCGATTTATATAAGAGGTAGGGCTACCAGAATGAAAGCCCTTTTGATAATATAATGATCTAATCTCATTGTAAAATATTCACATATTCAAATGTTAATGTCACATTCAGGCGGCGCATACAAAGAGAGGAAAGTAGCTCAGTGAACCGTTAATCGGACACGTGCCTGAGCCGCATTTGAGGTTAGGTTGGAACTCGCAAGTTTGATGGAGAAATGGAGAGATACTCAGGCCAAAAAGTGAGAAAATCAACACTTGTTGCACTCTCTAACTCATTCAAGCGTTTAATTGGCCGCTTGCCTAGGAACGACTGAGAAACATGTTTGGTTTATTTGGGGATTTTTTAAAAAGAAAGTAAAGCACATTTTCGCTTTCCTATTGAATAGGGACAACTAATGCATATTCCCTTTTTAGATTCCCAATATTTTTGGGAGGTACTCACCCCTTGGCTATTCAGGCGCTGACCCGTGGTCGTTGGTGGTAGCATGCTCTCAACGCCCTGCATTATCACACTTGCCCCAAGGAATTTGTTGAGCAGAGCGCGTGCCTCACGATCCTCGTTTGTGTCGCCAGGCTCCTCCACTGCAAGGGAAATGGTTAATGTTGATTAACTGGGAAATTGCAGATGTCTTTTGGGGGTCTCACCATGATCGGCATTTCGCATACGCTCGAGAACATCATACACGCTGGTCACCTGTCGTTGATCGGCGCTACTGTTGAGGAAGGAGCGCGTATTGCTGGATCGGGTTGTGGTCGTGCTGCTTGAACCCTGGCGCATCTGCGGTGCCTCGATGACGCTGCAAACCTCATTCGATTCACTGTCCTCAGTCGTCTCCTCCTCCTCGGCATCTGCTGCATGCCCTGTGCGGCTACTCACCAGCGACTGCGAGGTGCTGGAGTGAGTCGACGAGGAGGACTCCTTACGTATGAATTTCTCGCTTAGCTTCTTCACCGAACCCCGACGGACATATCTGGCATCCATCTCTGACTGCGGCTGTTCCTCAGACTCGACTTTCTTGAACTCTCTGACCAGCATCTGCTTCTGTATGGAAGCCAATTCATCGGCATTGCTCGAGTAGATAAGCTCCCTGCGCTCGTGTCGGGGCGGGGACTTGTTGTCCGAGTAGAACTGCTCCTCGATCACATAGCCTGTGACTTCTAAGGACGGAACAGGAATGGCTTAAGGAATCGGTAAAGGAATTAGGGACTAGAGCTGATCCTTGCTTACCTTGCTTGGTCTCACACGGTGCCGGTTGACTTTTCTTTTTGAGGGCTCTTATCCCAAAGAGGGGCAGTCCATTCTCGTCAGTGGGTCCCACTCCGTAGCTGGATGTAATGGAGTCCTCCTCGCGCTGCTTGCTTGCCTGCCTGCTGCTGGAGCTGGCAGTGGAGCTGGTGCTGGTGCTCTGCAGGGTTCGTGTCACCTTCCCGGTGGTGCTGCTAGAGCTGGTACTGGTGGTGCTCGTGGCAGATCCCTTCCGCGGACTGGATCCACAATTCGAGACAGGACCGGGACCCTTGAGCACCTTGGCGCGATCTGCCCAGATGGGCTCCTGTTGTGATGGCTTGCTGGGTGCCCCAGCACGTGGCCCAGTGCCACTGTTTGGAGTCCGAGTGGTGCTCCCTGGCGACTGCTTGCCGGGCGGACTGCTGCGACGTCGATGGGCCGGACTGGCGCTCCTCTCTCGTGGCTTCACCGGCGGCTTGCCCTGTGGCGTGGCTCCACCTGGGCCTGTGGTGCTATCCACCTGCTCTGCGCGCTGTCTCCTGGTAGTGTTGCTGGTGGTTCGCACTTCCTTGAGGCTGATGCTGCTGGTCTTGGACACCGGACTGTGGCTACGATCGCGTGGAGACACTGCATTCTGCTGCTGTGGCAGCTGCTTCCTCGGCTGTGGTGCAACACTGGGCGAGGTCTTCACTACCGTTGTGGTGGTAGTGTTGCTGCTAGTTTCCGCATTGATCATGTTCTTTCGGATGAGCCGCATTTGGGCGCGTATCCGACGACGCATCTCGTAGCTGCTCACCGTCTCCAGCAGCTCTTCGAGCAACGGCAGATCAAAGATCTCCTCAATCTCCTGATCGCTGATCTTCGGTTTGACCTTCTCCTCCTTCTTGGGCACATCAAACTTGACCGATGTATTCGGATTCCGTGGCTCCACCCCGGAGTCATTCTCCACCGATGACTTGCGCGAATAGTTGTTCTTATTGATCTCAAGCGAGTCTCGGCGTATGTGCTCCAGCGAGCTCTTGGTGTGATCCATGTACGAGGGACGACGACCGCCGCCCACAGCCTGCGGTTCTGTTGGCGCTGCTGCTACCTGTGGTGGTGTTGGTGGTGGTGTCTTCTCGAACACATTCCTGCGAGTGGCTACAGTCCGCCCATTTGGGATTGCTGGAAGGGATTCAACGTGTACAGGAGGTTCGGGATCAGCAGTGTCTGTGACTTTTCTTGGGTGTTGGTTAATCGGGCTTGGACTTGGGCTTGGAATGGATTTTGGACTTTTTTGCTTAGTGGTGGTGCCGCTGTGCTGCTGCCTCTGACTGTGGCTGTGCTGGAAGTGCTCTGAGTTCAAGTACAAGTTGGTTCGGGTGGTGCCAGTGATATTGAGTCTACTGGGTGACCGAGAGGGCGAAGTTAAAGGAGACTGGGACGGCGACGGTGACGGTGACAAGCGTATGGGTGAGGGCGAGGCCGAACGCCTTGGAGGCTTGCGGATGTTTGCGGGTTTCTGGTGTGTGGGTGGTGCTGGTCCCACCATCTCCACATCCACATCAACATCGCTAATCACCCACTGCTGCTGGCTGACATGTTCCATGTTTCGCTTGATGACGCTGCCAGCTGGCGTGGGTTTCATTGTGGGTTTCGATGGGCCATTGGCATTGCTACCCCTGGGTACCGAGCTGCTGCTCGGTTGCTGCTGGGGTGACTTCATGGGCTTTGTGGTGCTTCCAGTTGTGGTTTGATTCCTGTAGGATCGACGCTCCTCGGTGATCAGGCTGCTGCTTGGAGTACTTTTCGGTTTTGTGCCATTCTGCTTGGGTGTCATCGTCGGTGTGGGTGGACTTTTGGGGGATGGCTGCCCGAACACCGATGGACGGCTGAGGATATCCTCTTGCCTCTTCAACTCAATGGCTGTCGTGTGGCTCTTTGTCATGGGCAGCGGCTCCTCCTCTTCCGACTCCTGCTGGGTCTGCTGCTTGGGGTATTCATCCTCCTCGCGATCCGATTGCAGTTCCGGCTCCGATTCCTGCTCCAAGTCCGTCTCCTGTCGCGAAATGTGCCTCTCGATGCTGGCCACGAGACGTGGCGACTTTTGTGGCGCCGTCGGGGCCAGCTTCTCGGCGGTGTCAATGAACTTGTGCACCTTCTGGGAGACGCTCAGGGTGCAGTCATCCTGCCGCAGCTCCTCATCCATCTCCTCGAAACTAGGGCGCTCCAACTCCCGGCTGGGTGTCGGCGTCAGCGGCTGCCTCGTTATGTTCTCGGCGGTGCGTAGGAACTTGTCCACTTTCTGGTTGATGCTCAGCAGGCACTCGTCGTTGTCGGGTATCCTGGCATTGGTATCGAACTCCCGGCTAAAGGGCACGGAGCTGCGCGGCTGTTTCACCTGCTCGGCGGAGTGGGTGAAGCGAGAGACTTTCTCGTGCACGCTGAGCAGACAGTCATCAGTGTCCTGCGGCTGCACCGGTTGCACTGGATGGGATGGATCTGCGCTGGTACTGGTGCTGCTTGACGGATAGTCCAGGCTCTGGGGCGCCTCCACCATGGGATTGTCGAGTATGTCGTCGTCCAGGCCATTGGAGCTGCGCAGCTCCGATATCTGACAGCCCACATAGGCGTTGGCCGCCTCCTCGAAGATGGTTATGTTGGTCACCTGCGGCTTCTTGCGCGGCTCATCGTCCGGCTCCTGAACCACATCCGGATAGCGCGGCTTACCCGTTTCTACGGCCATGGCGTTCACTGGCGTGGGTACGATGCGATCCGGTGAGGGCTCTCGGGAGCTCTTTGCCTGTTGTATGTCGATGATCATGTCCTCGCTGTTGGTCAGCAGCTGTTCGCTCAGATTGATAGTCTTGGTGGTGAAGCATTTGCTGGGTCGGCTTCCCCGTTCTACGGGCCTCAGGGTGCTCATTTCGGGCTTGGAGGGCTGGCTGGGCCTGGGCTGCTTCTTGGGTTGGTGCTGCTGGGGCTGCTGCTTGTGTGGATTCTTTTTTCCGTTGACCACTTTGATAATGTTCTCGCTGGTGGATCGCAGTACCTTGTCGGCCTTATCGCGTCGTGTCACCCTCGGTACGGGTGCCGACTCCTTGCGCTCAGTCACCGGCAACTTTCGTGCAGCGGCAGGGCTCAAGGCGGCTATCAGCTGGGGTCGACGCTCGGTGCGCGGCGACTTTGGGGACGTATGATCGATAATGATCTCCGTGTGCACCGAAATGTTACTCGACCGACGACGCTCTGTGTTGTGGGGCGCACGCGAAGGACTCACATCTGGGGAGGTGCTTGTATCCCCATCCACATTATCCGCTTTGATTGGTGTATGGTTCTGGACTGAAGGCTTCTGCTTACGCGGCAAAGATCGCAAGCGATCCTTGAGGGACGATGAGGCACTACCATCACTGGGCTTTCGCCCCGTTTTCGTTGTGGTGGATGTGGTCGTGATGGTGCGGGTCTCCTCCACCACACTGTCACGCTTGGGTCCATTTGCTTCCGGCTTGCGACCCGTCAGCGACTCCTTTCGTGGACCTTTTGGGGCGACAGACTTTGGCAACGGAGTTGTTTGCTTAGTGGGGCTGGTGCGGGAATTACGACGTTCGGTTTCGGATTTTGTGCTCGTCGTTACACTTGGGCGCTTCTGGGACAGCAGCTCCTCTTGGGGCTCCTCTTTCGTGGGTGATGAAATGTTCTTGGTGCTGGGACCTGCCTGGCTCTCTGGCTGTAACTTTCTGTTGGTCTTTGTGGTCTGGCAATCGATGGTTATGAAGCTCGTCGACACAGTCTCTGGCTCCGGCTTGGAATGGGGAGCGAAAGCTGTTGAAGGAGCAGGAGAAGACGATGGCGAAGGAGCAGGCGACGGCGAAGGCGAAGGAGACTTTCTGGTAGATTTCCGTGGTGTCTGTGGGACAGGCGAAGAAGATTTTGAGGGTCGCTTGGTATTGAATATCGTCGTCTCCTCATACACATTGATCGTCTCGGCATCCTCTTTGGGGTTGGGTATGTGATGGGTATTATCCACCTTTGAAGTCTCCTCCCCATCCATAAAGAGCTCACTGAGCTCGGGCTGTGGAACCTGATCCACCTTGATTTTCGGCTGGGTGCGCACCACAAAGGTTTCGGTGACACGACGCGATGGCTGATCATTATAATCATCATAGTCGTCATCGAGGCAATCTTCGATCTTTACCTCAATGGTCTCCGTCTCCTTCTGCCTCTGTGTTGTGGTTGTTTGCTTAATCTCCTTCTCATCCTCCTCCTCTGTTTGATTGTGATCATCATCATTATCATCATTGGGTCGCGTTATGTAGCTACCCTGGGTATCGCCATCCTCCTCCATGCCCAGGATCTTGCGGCATCGATCCTCGAAAGTCTCGCGACGACTCAGACCCTTTTTGCGATAAGTGGGTGCCTCTGGCTCGGGCTCGGGCTCGGGCTCGGGCTCGGAGTCGGCTCCTTTGGAGAATAAACCACCATCGGGACTTTCTATGGCTTCTTCGTGTTGCGGTTGGGTTTTGGTTTTTGGTTCGGGTTCGGGTTGCTGCTGCGGTATGGAATCCCTTTCTTTTTGGCGCTGCCCCTGGCGTTCGTTCGTTAGAAATTCATCGTTCAGATTATTTTTAGTCGTTCGTGTCTGATGGGTTGTGATGGTGCTGCGGAAGAGTTCATCCTCTCTTTTCTGCTGGACTGATGGCTGAAGTGGTGCCGACTGGGGACTCTCCTTTTCGGGGCTCAGTCGTGGGGCACCCAACTGAGGTTGCCGGGGGATCTCCTTGTCGGGAGTCTGCCGCGGTGATCCTCTGGAGTAGCCAGATTTCTTCTCGGGACTCTGGGCCCTCTGAGAAGTTTTGGGCAGGGCTGGCCCTAGTGGTGTCTGAGCCTTAGGCACCACTTTCTGGGGGCTGCTGCTTTCTTTTGGCAGCTGGTATGATCGTCTGGGCAATTCAGGCTCTTTGTCTGGATTCAGAGCCCTTGGTGCCTCCTTCTCTGAACGCTGAGCCCTTACTGGCTCCGATTTCTCAGGGCTGTCAGCACGCCCAACGGGCGACAGGGGAACCTGCGACTTGCTGGGCAGCTGCTTCTCGGGGCTAACCTGTCCCTGGGGGCTCTCCTTGGACGGCAGAGGTTGTGTCTGTTTTTCAGGGCTCTGTCGTGGCCACACCCGCGGCTTCTCTGGGCTCTGAGCCCTGGATTGGGGCAGTCCTGGTTCGGGGCTGCCTTGCTTGGGCTTGGGATGGGCCCGGGGCCGTGATTGAAACGTCGTCTCATCTATGAGGATCTGCTCCTCAATGAGCAGAACATCCTCCTCTGGCTTGGAGCCGCGCCTGCCCTCGAATGTCGTTTCCCTGAAGACGGGACGACGTTCGACGCTTGGAGACTTTGAATTGCCCTTGGAACTGGCAAGGTTTGACTTGGGTTTGGATGTGGATTCGGGTTGGGGTTCGGGTTGCTCCTCGTTCCTCTGCTGGTAACGCGTCTTGGTGTCCGTCTGCTTGGTGGCTGCGGGGAGTAGACATCAACAGGGAGCAGATCATCAGCGGTTATCGATGGTGGATCTAGATTTGGGGGCCATAGATCGTAGATCCGCCACTGTGGTGCTTGTGTTTTACATTTGTTTGTTTTTTTGTTTGTTTGTTGTTGGCTCTTTCCCAGTTAATGGATTAGTTACGACTACGGGTTGCGCTTTGGTGGCTGCTACTTACTACGTGTTAGGACGCACTCTACGAGGCACTACGGGCAGGGGTGGAGGGATGTTAGGCGGCAGGCAAACTGAACAGAACAGGCACAGGTTTGTAGACAGGCAAAGACCCATTTTGGCGGCCCCATTAGTGGAAGAAGAGAGTTAGAGAAGAGAGTTTTGTTTTTTGTTGTGCACTACAGGCTGCGTGTGGATAGTTGTTGTTTGTGTTAATCGTCCTTCATTTGTGTGTGTCTTTGTGTTCGTGTGTGTGTGGTGCACGGTGTTCAGGGGCAGTGAGTGGTCAAGACATTGAACATTTCAAACATTTGGCATTTGCTTTTTGTTTTTCGGTTTTAAGTATATTTATTTCCAAAAAAGAAAAACATTTTCGAAAGAAAACAAAAAGGAATTAAAGAGATAGAGAGCGAGAGAGCTAGAGAGCAAGAGAGAGAGAGCATAGGCATACACAAATTGATTGATTGATGGGCTGTTCAATATCTTTAAGGTTTATTGATTATTCAAATACTTTTTAATTTATTTCTTTTCTTTTTTTTTATTCGGGAGTTGCCTTACCAACGCTCTCGAAGGGACGGGGCACTGGTACTATGGTTTCCCCCGCGTTGAGGGTTTCGTTAACGGTTTCAGGTCCCAGCTGATAATATTGACGCTTCACACAGGGTGGCTCTGCCACTGGCACTGGCACAGCCTCATGCGCCTCATTGGCGCTCACCTTTACCTTTCGGATGGGTTCTTGGTCGTGGCTGGTGGTGGTGCTTGTTGCTGTAGTGCTGCCAGTGGCTGTGTTCTTGTCTTTGTTGTTGTTGATGGTTAGTGGTGTTGTTGTTGTTGTTGTTGTTGGTTCGTTGTTAATAGTAGGAGGAGTAGTTGGAGTTGGAGTTGGAGTTGATGGCAGAGAGAATATGTCGCCAGGCTTAGTGGTAGTATACGTATACTGTGATAGCTTGTTATCTGAAGGATAGTACATTCATATACATAGTTTTTCCGATATATATATATAGTATTATTATTATGATATAGTTATAGATTCATCTTGTTTACTTTTGTATGTATTTTTTTCATATGTGTTTTTTCTTGAGATTTTACTTTTGTTTTTGTTTCTCTTTCTTTTTTATTTCGTACCTGGAACTGGAGCGGAACTGGCCGGAGCGGCTGCTGTTGTTGGAGATTGTGGTGCTGGTGTTGGTGCTGCTGCTGCTGCTGTCGGAGACGAGGGACCTGCACCACCCCCAGTCTTGATGGTGCTGGTTGTCGTGGTCGTTACAGTAGTCGTTGCCGCCTTTTGGGTGGGCGACTTGGGTTCGTTGCTAATCGTCTTGGTGGTCGTCACCTGCTGCTGCTTAACCACCGGCGTCTTACCCACACTCTTGGGTGTGGTTGGGGCTGAGCCACCGCCTGATGTCTGTCTGGTCACCGTTGTGGTACTGATGCGACTTGACTCCGAGGGCGCCTGACTGTCGTGCGAGCCCTCGCGTCCCTCCCGGCGGTAGGTGCGGCTTGAGGAGATGCTCGAACGCGGCGTCTGATGGTGGGGCGAACCCACCGAAGTGGTGCTATCCGCCGGCGAACTGCTGCGCAGCGAGGCCGCAAATGCCCGATGGGCAGCGTCCACCTTCTCCAGCTGCCGACGCGACACGCTCGTGGTTGTGGTCGTGTTGTCCGAGCTGTTCGGACTGTTGCCGCCTCGAGTTCCTGGACGAGCGCCCGCAGCGGGTGTCTGGGCCGCCTGGCGTCGCGCACCCGAGTCTGGCGAGGGACTGGCAGACTGCGGGGGCTGCCCGTGCGAGTGGGTCGTGTGACTGTTGGGATGGGCCTTGGCATAGTCCTGATCCACCTGCGTCTCGATAATGCGCTCCGTCTGTGACTTATGGCTCGCCTTCTGGTTGCGGCTCACCGACTTGGACGTGACAATCACCTCGCCATCCGGCTGATCCGGTCGAGATCGCACCGATGGGAATCCATGGGTGCTGTAGTCATCGACAGGCTGGCGCCTGGGACTTGCTGGCTGCTCCCAGCTGGGAATAGGCGCCTGAGCTCGGGCTGCAATCTGCGGCTGGGACTGCGACTGGGACTGAGGCCGATCCACAAACTCCGTTTCGATGGTGCGCTGGGAGCTGCTGCTCTGCTTGACATTGCGACTCTTCTCCGACTTGACCACCACCACCTCCTGCTCCGTCTCGTTGCTGGGCCGCTGGCTGGAGAACTCCTGCGTGGGCTTGTTGGGCCGCACCGAGGGGAAGCCGTGCGTGGAGAAGTCACTGGTTTGTGGTGGCGGTGCCACCTGCTGGCGCGACGACTGAGGCACCGAGGGACGACCGGCGGCTGGGACGGCGGCAGTGATGGGTTGGCCGTGATCATCAAACTCCTCAACCGTCTCCGAAGTGGTTTCCGTGGAGAAGCGACGACTTGATTTCTTCACCGATGAGAAACTCTGGGACTGAGTCACCTGTTCTTGCTCCTGCTCCCGCTCCACCGGTCGCTGTTGCTGTCCAGAATGACGTCCCAGTGGCTCTGCATTGTCCACCACATCACGAGGCTGGCTCTGGCTGTGGGTCTGATTACGGACATGGCTATCATGCACATCCTGGGCACGTCGCTGACTCTGAGTCTGCGACTGAGTATGCGTCTGGGTCTGAGTCTGCAACTGGGCTTGCGGTTGATTCACTTGCTCCGTCTCGTAGCGCTTGTTCTTGACAATGGTGCCATCGGGCAGTCGCTTCACCGTGGTGATCATCTTCACATTGGGCTTGGGATACTCCACCGTGTTGGAGATGATCTCACCGGGCTGCGACATCAAGTGCTGGACATGGCGCTGGTACTCCGGCGATGCCTTGTCCATGTCCACGTAGAGCTTGTTCTCCTCGTAGTGCTGCTGGGTCTGGACGTTCCTTGTGCTGTTGCTCTGTTCGCGACTCTCCGAGTAGCGTTCCTCCTGCTGTTGTCGCTGCTGCTGCAGCTGCTCCTGCAGGATGCGCTGCTCCTGGACACGACACTTGTCCTCCCATTCACGCTGCTCTCGCTGCAGCTGCTGCTGGTACACCTTTTCCTGGTCATCCATGAGATAGCGCGCTGGCTGTGCGGAGGGCTCATCGCCGTACTCCACCTTTGAGGAGGAGGAGGAGGATGACACCACCTTCTTGGTGGACGAGGACGAGGTGGAGGTGGAGCTCACCTTCATCTCGGTGCGTCCACTGTTCTCGTCACCAAACACCACCTTCTCCTGCAGCTGGGTATTGGTGCTCTCCGAGGCCTTCTTCACGTAGTTCTGGTCATCGCCCTGATGGGAGGCGCTCGATCGCTGCTCGTTCCTTCCCTTGAACTCGGCCAAGCCGCCCCCATTGAGCTTCTCAATGCCTGGAGCACCACAGCAGAGCATTGCAGATGCACAGAGACGGGACATTTCACATACAAACAGAAAGAGATGGAGAGAGAGAATTGGAACAAGGTTAGACACACACATAAATACCGACAAGGGACTGGTGTTAGGTTTTTAGGTGTTCAGACAGAGGGAGAGAGAGAACCGATTGGGACCTACCATCTGTCTTGGCCAGAGTCTCCGTGCGGAATGCCCTGCCATCGGGGCTAACCTCCGATGAGGTCTGCACATCCCAACCGGTGCTGCTCGGCTGCGTGAGTGTCATCGAATGGAACTTCAGCTCATGGGTGGGACTCATCGAGTCGCGCACCTCCTTGGACTTGAGGCTCTGGAAATTCTGATCGAGCAACGCATCCCCGTGGCTCGTGGCCAGTGGATCCTTGGCCCCGAAACCAGTCAGCGAGGATGTGCCATTGCCATTGCCATTTCCCTGTGGCTCCGCCATTGGGTCCGCTTCGTGCCTGTACAGATTGCAGAGACGCGACTCTCGCAGCTTGTAGAGATGCGATCGGATCTGCTTCTTGCGTTCGCTGTCCTCGGACTGCTGCCACTACAAAAAATGGGGGAAAAGAAGAGCCACAAATGAGTAAAAAAACCAAACAGATCTCACAGTCGATAGACTGACACATAGACAGTCAGTACCCCTGTCCTTGAGCCAATTAGAGCTTCAGCCCTCCAGTGGGAATCGCGTGGAGTGTGGAGTGTAGAGATGAGCCGAAGCGAGGCGAAGTGAAGTGGAATCGCATCGAGTCGAGCCGAGTCTATTTGAGTGGAGTGCACAGCCCACGCGTGCTCAAAGTCCCTCACCATTTCCAGCAATTACTTCGCCTTTTAAGGCGCCCTCCCCAGAGACACAGTCACAGTGCTCCCCCATCGCCACCATCCCCCGCCAATTAGCCAGTCGGCCAGCCAACACACAGTCCAGCCAGCACTGAGTCAGCCAAATAGTGTCATATAGCCATATAGTCATATTGATATCTGACTCAACGTTGTTTTGTTTCGTTTTCGATTCTTGGGAATTTGTAAAGAGGAATTCGTGTACGGATTCCATTTCAATTCTTCCACCGGAAGACATGCACTGTCCAAAAATGGTGGAATACTCTTTCTGTGGAATTTAAACACAAAAGCGCACAAACAACCCTTATCCGTGTGCTTTCGTTGGGTTATTTTCTTCTTGTAATTCTTCAGCTAAGAGCCGAGAAAACTCTGAACTGGAATGCCAACAAATACAAATCGAATCTTGGTTTGCTAAATATCTGTAGTGGATCAGTGGACTGTAACTTTAGCTTAAAAATAAATAAACAAAATGCCGAGCAACGGAACACCTCGAACAAACACTGACCGATAAGCAATGGATCAGCAGCAAAGAGCCACACAATACATTCGAGTACAGAGTACATTTGTAGATACGATTTAATCATAAACACATCATTACTATTTTTTAAACAAAAATTTAGAATGCGCGACAGAAAAAGAAACAGCCAGCAGGCAGCGATCAGCAACTCCAAATTTTGTTGGCTAACAAATTTACTAAAAGTTCAAGTGAGCGGCGGTGATATCACCACCTCACACACGGATTCGTTTGGCGGAAAAACATGTTCAATGACATTAACATTTGTATTATCAATAATGACACCCCGTTCTCGATCATCAGTGTGGTAGACTGGTAGCGTGGCAGAGGGAGTGCCCAACTTCCAGCCAGAACTTCCTGAACTCGTTTAAAACTATCATTATTCAAGTTGTCAAAGTTGTCAAGTTCAAGTCAAATTAACAATATTTTATGGCATTATGCATAATCTATATTCAGATGGTAGCGTATGTTAGACTGTCTGTGGTGTCTCGATGAATTTTCAACCATCAAATGATACTAGTAGATACTCCCAACTACATATGTATATACATACTTATATATTTATTACATTATATACATATTTATTTTTTACATTTCTGTGCTTTAAATATTCATTTTCCCACCATACAATCGCATCTATCTATGGCTATTAGTGAAATCTATCCAATAGCCTTTACATCATATTCGTACCGTTTCAATGATTGATGGCCAAGTGGTTTCTTTTTGGTTCAATCATTACCATTTCGACACAGAAAATCGTAAAAAAAGCACAAAGCCCAAATGGCACTGCAGATGGCGCTGGCTGGCTCTCCGCTTTCACTCATCTCGCTCACAGCCAATGCAAGTATTGGCATGGCATTGACAAAGAGACGAAAAACAAATGCAATTCTGTGTCTATGTGTGGGTATGTGCGTGTGCGTGTTCGTTTGCGCGTGTCTGCGAAAACATTGCTGCACTTTGCAAGAACTGGTCGTTCGCCATCGTCGTCAGAGAGCCGCTACAGGTTTATTTATGTGAGGGTGAGCCACAGCTCTGTCTCTCCGCCTAGTCGCCTAGTCGTGAGAGCGCTGTCGGTGAGTTTCTCACCTCCATCGAAGCACACATTGTAGGCTTCCACGAATGACGTAATTTCTAAAAGCGCCCATGATAACCAGTTAAATCCGACGACGACGACGCCAACAGCAATAGCAGCAGCAGAGTCAGTCTTCGCACCTCTGCAGCAGCAGAGGCAGCAGCCGGCAACGCCAACCTGTTTGCGTCGACGCTGGCGCTGGCGCTGCGCTGACTGCAGGCCGCCCTCCTCCACTAATGATGAGGAATGAATGGCTGGATGCATGAAGTAACTATAAGGAGGTCTCGTCGGTGGCAGAGTTACTCGTTGCTTTTCCTAATTTTCAGTTCTCGTTTGCTTGACGCGGATTTGGTGCAGTTTATGGTTCATGTACCGGTATGTTTAGAGAAGAGAAAATTGTGGGAGCAAAGTCACAATCAGCACACTCCATTGTCGTTGCACTCACCCTTACAGCTAGAGCCCTTTCACTCGCACTTTTCACTCGCACTTTTCCATAATTTTTGCCGACGAGACCTCCTATATAGGAGGATGGAGGAACCATGAAAAAACTAAGAAACTTCTTAATGGGAGGAACAAAGTATATACTTCATGGCTGGATGGATCGCTGCTTCTCTCTCTCACTCCGTTGCTGCTGCGACAGATGATGATGATGATGACGTGACGTACGAGATTTTTGTTGATATGCGAATGCTGATAAATTATAGTTTTTGTGTTTCTTTTTTGTTGTTTCATTTCATTTGTGCCGTGAATTTAAAGGTTTTTTATTTTAAATTTTCTGCTGTCGTGTCAGCTTTGGAGGTCAACGCTGCCATGTCGTTTCTTTTCCCCCCTCATCATTTTTTGCAAAAAATTGTTTTGCTACTGAAATTAAGATTTAATAAAACTTAATTGAAACAAGGAAAGAAAACAAGCTGGCATCAGAGGCACTTCATTCCTTTGTCAGATTTATTTATATATTTAAGTCACACAAAATAGTTTGGGGGGAGGGGTGCAGAGCGGGAGTATTCCAATTGGGTCATTCCATATTTGCGAAACACTGCGAATGACTGTTTTCCTGTACCTCTCAAGTGCATATCAAAGGCGATAAGAGTCAAGAATTTCTTGGCTTAAGATAGCTGTTTATCAAGACAATGGCAGGGAGGAATGTGATAGAGAGAAAGAGAGTGATAGAGAGAGGTCACCAAGCGATAGTAAGAGAGCTGCTACCTGTTGATGTCTCTTGGTGCGGGGGAAACGCACCGCACCCCACCGCTTTGACATTGAAAAGTTATCAAGATTATGGGCACTGGCGAGAACAGAGAAGTGCACTGAAAAAAATGCATTCACAGGTGGTATTAGCACCTCACTTTCTGTCATATTAAAAAAATCTTAAAGGTACTTTAATGTTTGTTAGTAGCCATAACTGTCCCGATTTGTTGCATATGTGACATTTGTTTAATGCAAATTCTGACCTTATTTTTTGTGCAGTGTAGCCAAAGTTAACACAAGAGCGGCGGCCTACAATATAAAGTGATTTAAAGAGAGAGAGAGAGAGAGAGAGAGTGAGAGAGAGATAGAGAGAGAGGGCGGTGGAGAGCGGCGTCTGCCATCGGCAATCAGTTCAATTTATGAAATTGTTTTGCACTTTGCACAGACCCCCACACCCCGTCACAACATCACACCACACTGCCCACCCACCAGTCTCTGACTTGGGGCGTCAGTGGCTATTTTTATACCAATTTCGTTTCAATTTTGATGCCTTTTAATATGCAAGCGACCTAATTGCCCCTGTACGTCCGCCGTACGACGCCGGCGGCCCAGAGCACTGCCAATTGCGAATCAGAGCGGCAGCAGCGACAGCAGCAGCAGCGACGGTAACGCATGGCTGACGTGTACGCCAACGCCAACGCCAACGTCGACGTCGGCAATGCACAATAATTAGGAGAGGTGCCAAAGTCTAGAAGCATCCCGGCAGCTGTTTGTCAGTTTTAGATTTTGATAAGTTTTGACAGCATACAGCATACACAAATATACATACATATGAATTATGGGTCTATGTTATTTGATTGCACAGAACTGCCATACCTGCCAGTTAATATACCCTGTGCTGTCAGCAGAGAAACAGCCGCAGCAGCAGCGCGGTCGAGAGAGCGAGCGAAGCATGTTTATGCTCACGCTGTTGTAGACACGGTATTATTTGTGTTTTCGATTTTTCGGTTGTGCTGTTAATTGTTTTTCGTCTTATTTTGGATATGACATCGCCCCAGGTGAATAAAACATTCACGCTAGCCAGCCATCTCCTCTACCATATGTATGTTATGTTCTCCGAAAGTGGAGCACTTTCGTGGGCCCCGTCCTGCATACTAAGCACCAAATCGTTGCAGGGGCTCTCCGTTGCGCCATGGGAAAAATCGTGTAACTCCGTTTCTGTATTTGTTTCCAGTATGTCGTTTTGATCGATGGACAGCTGTCAAATGATGCCGTGTGTGTGGCGAGTGGGTATTAGAGGGTAGGTAGACATCGCACACGAATTGAAAATTAGAATGCAAACTTGATATATGGTCAATGGATCTGCCGTACATATATACGTAAAAACATATGTACATACAAATAACCAAAAATCGTCGTTTCCATATTTGTGTGAAAATGTAGCGAAAAAGCAGAGAATCTCCCTCAGTCTGAGAAGTTGTCGAAATGATCTCATACGAAGCGAATGGGGGGAATATCTTTATGCATAACGTAGTCTAAACAATAACTTTGTTTTATTTATGACTGCATTTGGAGTTCCGTTTCGCAGATCAGCGTATAAAAGGCCTCGAAACTTCATCGGTGATGGATCAAATTGAGACTGAATATATAAAGCATATGTATTTATCAGTTATTGATAGAAGATCGAGTCGACATGAATTCAAGTAACTTTCTTAATAGTTCATTGATATGTAGATACTCTCAATAAATTCACTTTACGTTAAATCGGTTTGCATCAGATTTAAAGAGTTTCAAAACTACACACAGCACAGATGAACCATTACTGAATTAAAATGTCTTTTGGTGTCTATAATTTGGGAACCCCATTCGAAAAATGTATCCCCCATTTGATCTTGGCGAGACATCAATTGAGTGCTAAGAGGGGAGTGGAGTGGCCACAGCTGATCTGGTGAACAAGTCGCCACTGATCATTCAATTACTTAAAGTTAAGTCTAAAATCAAATTTACAGATTTGTCCAATTTTTATATCCGGTACTCGAAGAGTAAATGAGTAAAAGAGTATGTAACGCACAGAAGGAAACGTTTCCGAGCCCATAAAGGATATATATTGTTGATCTGCATCAATAGCCGAGTCGATTGACAGACCATGTGTGTCTGTCCGTCCGTCAGTCCGACCTGATGAGCGCCTAGTACTCAGAGATTATAATAGCTAGAGCCACAAAATGTTTCATCCATACTTCTGTATGCTCACACTGTTACAAGTGTATTTCCGCCCCCGCAAAAGGGCGAAAACCTCCCAAACCTAAAAACGCCATTCCGTAGGGAATGACCATATCTATCAGATCACCAAATTGGGATCCGATTGGATCATTATTATAGCCATAATGAAGAAATCAATTTGCAGTGGCTGTTTTTTCACATTCTCTCATTCACACTCAGCTTCGTGTAGTCAGCGGCCTCTGCCTCTGCCGCGAGTCTGCAGTGTGCGTTTCTAGGGAAGGCGGGCGAGCTAAAGGAGCGTGTTGGTGTGAGAAGTGTTCTAGATGTAGATGACAGATGAAGAAAAATTTTAAATTTGACAAAACACCGCTAAGGTGCAGATGTAGTACTGAGTGCCGGGTATAAAGTTGTGAAGCGTAAGAAGCGTCTCACACGTCCCTTCTCGTTGGGAATAGATTGGAATATTTACACTGGTTGCTGAACTTAACATGTCTTTTATAGAGTAAAAATCATAGTATGGATTTCACTATGTACAAATGAGATCACTGATTACTTCAACACAAAACTTAACTTAATCTGAAGATCTAACATAATAATGAGACCAATTATAAGACTGGAACGGACCGGGATCCCTGATGGCTATGATCTGGTTTTGTTACAATGCGTAAAACCGCTACCAAGGCCAGCAGCCTACGGCAGTGGAAACGTGTTCCATTATAATTAGATGCACTCCAGATTATCATATGGCCGCGGGCAAGGTTTGTCGGGGCCTCTGAATGTGCCTGTGACTGTGCCTGTGTCTATCCAGACCCCACCCCCGCCTGGGACCAGCTGTTCTTACGCTTGGGATCTTCAATCAACTGATGAAAGACCCAAGTGGGGCACTAATTCCCAGATAAGATCCGTTTGTTTTGTTTGCCTACCAGCTACTAAGGCCAGATACAGATACAGAAACCGAAATACATTTGTACATACAGATACCAAAACCATTTGCTGACTAACTGTTGTGCAAAGTCAAAAGATACAGAGAACAAGAGAGTGAGAGAGAGAGGGGTGAAGGGGCCAATGTGTGAGTCTGCGAAAGTGTGAAAGTTGCTCAAGGTAGAGCAAAAAAAAGTCGAGAGAGCGTAGGACGCCCAATATTGCACGGCAAACACGTCTCGACTCTTCCCGAAAGTAAAAACTTGATGTATAAAAATATATACAAACATATAAATATGCATTTGGGCACTTCTACTTCGATTTATAGCTTCTGATCATAAGAAATTACTTTCAGTTTCTCGAAATGTGAACCTATTTAGGTTCAGATGATCGTTGTAGTTTTCGGTTGGACAAAAAATCTGTAACCATTATCTCAAAGGGAAGACACTTAAGATCTCCATAGCTTTTTCTCGTTTAAAAGTTTTAAAAGGACTTAAGCACACACCAAATACCCTTATGCCCTCCGAATGTAGGGTATTAACATAAATTACCTCAGTCAACGGATCAGTAAGAGGGCGCTTGGGAAAGAGATAAATGTGTGAATTTCTCTGTTGCTATTTTTCTTCCCCTCTTCAGATCACTTTTTCCTCTGATCCTCTCTTTGCGTTATTGTTGTTGTTGTTGCTGTTGTTGTTGTAGTTGTGGTTGCAAACTGGCAAATCACTGGGAAATAAATACGTTTGTTGGGTAGACGTGACTAATCCTTGTCCCGGCTTGATCTCTGGTTCGTTCTGTCGTTTGTTCCTTTTTCTCTCGTGCAAAAGCTACTAATTTTCAGCTTTTTCTATATTTTTTTATGTTGTCGATTGGCCAGGTAAAAAAAAAGTAACAAAACAAAAAAACAATGATCGTGGCTTTTGTGTGTTTGGGTTTTGTGTTTGGCTACTGCTGCTTCACGGAGCGTTCGCACGTTGCAATCGAGGCACCAAAATAATTCAGACTGAAGTTTCCAATCAGAATGAAAGCCGCGTAAAGTGGACGGCGACGGGCCCAAAGCTTAGACGCTGTCGCTGACGCCGGCAGCAGCAGCAGCGGCGGCAACGGCAACAGCAACAGAGATATGACCGAATACGAAATACTTACTTACGAATACGAAGATGACGAGACCGACTCGACCAGCAGAGCTGTCGAGTTCGCTTTGTTCGCGTCAGATCTGGCTTTTTTTCAAACTGATTAATTTAGCATTTCAAAGCTTAATTTTTCCCAGACGGTGCTAAGTGCAAAGTGCTGCCCATTGTTTATGTCAAATTTGTATCTGCATTTGCTGGCTTAACAGATTTAGGAAAATTCTTATTTTATGAAACAAATTTAATCACAAACTCTAAAATAACATTAAAACTAAATGAAAATCAGCCTTGGTTAGGCCAAAATCAATAAATTAGATTCGATCCTTTTTTTTTTCTACGCAGCACTGTCGTACCAGCGGCTCTGTCCGCCGTACAATGTCTTGGAGCGTTTTATTTATCTTTGAAGCCGCTCATGGCCTAGCTTTGGCAGCGCTCTCTCCGTTTTGCCCGTTGGCGGAGCAGGCGAGGACACTATGGCAGACAAGCGGAGGGTCTGATCTGCGTCCAGGAAACAAATGATTCAAGCAGATTCCAATTATTGCTTGGAGCAAACCTTTAACATTCATATAATCAAACCCGGTACTCGAAGAGTAAATAGGGTATATTGTATTTGTGCGAATAACGGTTGTATGTAACGCACTGAAGAAAACGTTTCCGACCCCATAAAGTATATATATTCTTGATCAGCATCAATAGCCGAGTCGATAGAGCCATGTCTGTCTGTCCGTCTGTCCGTCTTGTTTGTCGGCTAGTTCTCAGAGACTATAAGAGCTAGACCCACCAAATTTTGACTCCAGACTGCTGTATGCTCACACTGAAACCAGTGTATTTCAAAATACCCCGCCCCGCAAAAGGGCAAAACCCTCCCAAATCTACAATTTTGAAAATAATTGAAAACTAAAAACGCCATTCCTTAGGGAATGACCATATCTATCAGATCGCCAAATTGGGATCCGATTGGATCATTATTATTATAGCCAGAATGAAGCAATTAATTTCCAGTGGCCAAACCCACCCTGTCCCGCAGCTTTTGTTGTTCTTTTATTTAACCCACCCCGTCCCGCAGCTTATATTTGTTTTTTGTGTGCGGGCGCTGCCTCTTTCTCTGCCGCGAGTCTGCAGTGTAGATGACAGATGAAGAAAAAATGTAATATTTGACAAAGCACCGCTAAGGTGCAGATGTAACACTGAGTGCCGGGTATAAAAGTTGTGACGTGTAAGAAGCGTCTCACACGTCCCTTCTCGTTTTTAAATGTGTTCAAAAGATTTTTACGTTCTAAAAGAGTAGTTTTACTCCGAGAAAGAGATTTGATTTCCAGATCCTTATAGGGTATTGTATGTTCTTTGTAACACAGCTGGCATTCATATAGAAATATGAATTGAAAATGCAAAACGATCCATAGAAATTACAATCATCACTCGCCTGCACCACATCTAATCGCAGTCTAGCAATATAGAGATCCATAATGCTTCGATTGCAAATATCGTTTGCTGACACAATGAAGTGCAAGTGCCGGATCATATTTATTATATTACTTCTTGCTGCTGCCTCTTGTGTTCCTTTCCACAGGAGTCCCATTTATGAATGTACGTAAGATTTAGTCGATTTTGTGATTTAAATTCATATTTGAATTGATTTAGCTGTTTGCGCGTTGACTGGGGGCCGGCTTAAATGCTATGTGCATAACTCTTGGGGCTTCAATGAAAGGACTAAAAAATGTTATGAAGTGCGCAAGGGCAAAGAGCCGTGCGGCTTCTTTGATGGAAAAAAGGGCTGTGAAGACTTTTGTCTCAGGCCTCCTGGAACGGGCAGGAAAGGTTAACCTTGTGGGCACTACTCTTCGCAAGCAGTTTTAGCTTTTTTACCTAAACAGATAGCTTTATTTTTCAGTGCCAAATATTCAGCTTACTATGCTTTAAATTGTCAATGATAAGGGAGTGTCGCTTTTACACTTTTTCTGCTCCAGTGCCCCCAACACTTAATCCCCTCTTCTTTCGGCTACATACATACATATGTATGTATGTATTTGTTTTCAACAATTGATCGTGCCAATATTGAAAATAAATGTTGTTTGGTCACCAACGCAGAACGTGTACGGCCTTGATTTTTTGCAACTTTCGAGAAAGAATGGGAATGGGATTCCTTTGCGGTGTCATTGTCACCATGTCGCGCTTTACGTCACCTTATACCATGTGTGAATCCACAAACAAATCACTCAATCAGTGCCCGCCGAGGGGTGGGTATCGTTGTTGCAATAAAATAGTGTTTATTTGTATGCAAACAAATATAATACATAAATATACAGATACGTACACATGTATTTACATATGTACATTGTACATTTGTATATTCAAAGAGTTGGAGATTAATTCCAGAGCCCTCGAACGGGTTCCAATACCGCCCACAATCGAAGTAAGTTTATTTTCAAAAAAGCGACAAAATTACTCATCGATGAAACGCAAGACAGCAGGAGAGCACGGTTGATGCTGGTGGCGCAGACGTTGCGCAGACGTAGACGTAGATGTAGACGCAGACGTCGTGACTAGACAAATCAGACAGAGATAGAGGGAAAGAGGGGTGTTCACTCTACAGTGGCCACCAGTGCTGCATTTGGACATTTGCCATACGCGGGTGTCTCTGTGCCAATTCGATTCTGGCTTATTGATTTATATATCGACGGCGGCAGCAGCATCAGCAGCAGCTACGAACAACCCACGCCGGGGCTTAATCGAGCCGAATCGAAACGTATCGAGTTTGGGGCCTCATGGCCAGACTTGAATCGTAAAACATCCAACGCTCTCTGCTCTTTTCTGTTCTGCCGGCTGCCAGGGATGCATAGTCTTTACAATTTAAACCATAAGTGGCGAAGGGGGAATGCTCTGACTCGGCCTGCAGCGACAGTAGCAGCAGAGCACAACACACAATACCTCTCCCAGCAAGAGAGGAGAAGGAAGAGAGCAAAGTACAGACTGCAAGTACAGCGTGGCGAAGGGAGACCTGCAAAGCATCTTAGAGAGGATCAAACGAGAGATCATAGCAAGCGCAGGGAGCACAGACAAGAGGGAGATCATGACCGTTCTCAATTTTCAACCTGCTCTAAGGTGTACATAAGTGAACAAGGTGAGGAACACTTTCGCTGTTGTAGCGAGACATGTCCAAAAACAATGCAGTGGAGAGCGCGCCCCTCAGCACTGCTACACCTTGCAAATGTACACTTTGGGCAGATGCGCAGGCTGACCAGATTGAGAGAGGAGGAGGAGTAGCAAGCAGTCTGGAGCGACGAGCTCAGAAGAGCGCAGAAGAGAGCGAGGGCAACTTAATTCAGGCAGGCCAGAGGCCAAAACGCTGAAATTGATTCATGGCCAATGACTCATCCGAGGCTTTATCACCCATCAGCAGGCATCAGGCAGCGCAGCCGCAATGCCACTCCGCAGCTCCCCATTTGGCCGGCCGGCTTGACTGCGTGGGCTGTGAATCGTCTGCTGAGTCTGCCATACCCTCGCTTAGAGTATAAAACTTTTGACCAGCTGTTTGTCGCAACAAAGATAAAAGTGCACAGATTCCTGAGTATGCAGAAAATCGTTCGTATAATTTACCTTTGGGTACAATCCGTTATTTTTGCCATAAGTGTTTTTTTTGTTTTAATATAAATTGAAAGTGGAAAGATGCAGTTTCCAAAGTATCTAATCGCATCTTATCTTATCGCTAAAACACTATTGGAACAATTCGTCAAAAACAATTCTTAGTAAACACTTTCTTCTTTCGTGCAAATCTGATGCCACAGGTGTAATAAGTTTGTTGACCATACCAGAGGGTATTCGAAGCTTCGACCCTGCATGGATAGATATGTACATATTTTCGTCTCGTTCTTTTTTGATGTAGATGCCAGTATTTTGATGATACATACATGGATCCTTTTATTTGGACAGGACTCTCCCATACGTCGTCATCGCTTTTCCATTGATTTTTCTAAACACTTTTTAACGATTATTGCCAGCGTCTGAGCTAAGTCAGGAGACGAGCCGGGCCAAGCAACCCACGCGGCAAGACACGAGGCAAGACCACAGCCAGAGATCCAAGGAGAACAGCAAGAGACAACCAACCCCATAAATGACCCAATTTGGTCAGGTTGAACTGGGTTGGATTGATGGACTGAACGATTGACTAAGTGAGTGGCCGGATTGAGTCGATGTGGCTATGTGTCCCATCTCTGGCTATGGTCCGTTCTGGAAAGAATCGTCGGGGTCTGGTCTTTAAAGGCAATGACAACAGCATCCGGGACGGGTCCAGGCCCAGCTCCAGCTCCAGAAAAGAGGCAATGCACTTGACCAAAGAGGTGGGCGCGATGGCGGGAACAGAATAAGAGACGGAGAGAGCGAAAGAGTAGAGATAAAGGTGGAGAAGTGTCCAGAAGGAACAGACAAAATTCTCCCAAAATTATCCTAAAGTTGGCAGAGGCTTCGTGGGTAAATTGAGAATTTGAAAGCCGAAGGCAACGAGTGAAATCATTTCCCTAAAATCTCTTTACAAATAAGGAAATAGAGCCAGAACTTACCATTTTCCTCAGCAATTCCTCATTTTGTATGGCACCCAAATCGCATTCCAACTCCATCTCAAAGATAGCTGCAAGAGGAAGGAAAAAAAGTATTCATCTTAATTTGTATCTCCTAAAAGTAATTGTATGGGATATACAAAATTAAGAGCAGGACTTAGTGAAACTCAAATGGTAGATTCTTAAAGATTATTCTAGATAGATTTTCCCCGCTGATGATGCAATTATTTCGATGCACATTTCTCACTTTGATTTATTTTGACTTAATTATTTTTGTTGTATTTTTTTTCTATTTTAGTTGGTTTGCTGAGTAATATTATTTGCGATATATCATGATGAACGAGGCAAGCCAGAAGCAGAGTGTCCCCACACCCCAACAGGTTGTGACATTTCCCCCGTAAATGGCCAAGATCGAACAAGGCCAACAGCACAGGCAGCAGCATCAGCATCAGCAGCAGCAACAAATGCATATGAATACTCATACGAGTACCCGTAAAACAAATTACAGAGCCGTATGAGCAGTGCTGTTGTTGCTGCTCATTGAATTGCCAGCTTGATTAGCACCAGCTTCGTTGCAATTTTGGTAAGAGAGGAACTGCCTCGGGGTGCGGTGGAGGGTGGGCCAAAAACCAAGCAAGTTCAAAAAACCATAATTGGGCAAGCCACTCCATCAGCCTGATGAGGTTGCCGTGTCCCTCGGTGCCAAAACACGATTGAGCTTGAAACATAATCGAATTAATATAGAGACGGGGGTGTCTCAATCAATTAGGAGCTGTAATCTAAGTACTTATATTTCAGGGAACAATCAGAGCACATTTGGGTGATCTCTATGTGATGTGGGGATTGGGGAGGTCGCTTCAATTTCATGAACTCAGTACATAAAAAGTTCCACCAAGTATGAATATTTCCAAAATGAATGTTAGACATCGGGTCTGCTCCATACAGGTACAATATTGCTACATGCGGTCAAAAGTACCGTTGCAAACGTCCCATAAAAAGCCTACAAAGGGTCATTTAACTTATCGACACTTATCGATAGACGCGATTGAAATGGGCTTTGAATTTGCATTTATGCTTTTTACGATTATTGCCATAAATCTTGTCTTACCAAATCCGTGCGAGTGTTCGCTAGGAAAACGGTTTTTAATTGCCGCAAAGCTGAATGCCAGATTTGTGCTTCGATATTTGGCCATTTATAAATTTATGGGATTCTGCGTTCGGATCGGATCGGTGACCAGAAGAAACAATTTCTGTTGTGAATCTTAGGGCATTGGCCACACGCCCTGCCACCCACGCTGCATGACTGGCTGGCTTGGTCGTATTTTGTGTAAAGTATGGCTTTATTCTGGCTTTAGAAAATATGTTTATTTTCTTTTGGTTTCTCGATTTGATAGATGACCCATAAATGCGTTAAATAGATGTTGGATCTGACGTCTCAATAGGCTTTGACTTCGTTCCCCCGATCGCCATTCAAATTGTAATCGCAAAGGACAGAAGGAAAAGGGATTTGTCAGGAATTTGAAGATTACGCATAGAAAGTATACATTACATACAAGATCGTGCGAATATATATAAATAGTATAATCACTAATTTGGTAATCATATAAATTGTGGCACTATTGGCATATTTAATATGTATATGTACACATATGTATATCAAACTTATCTAGAGTATCCATGATACTAACAATATAGATGATGATCATAGGCTTAGGCATAGATGTAGTTATGGAAATTTAAACATAAAACATTAAGCCTGACTATTTGATTATATGCATATGATGATTTCAATCATATCTTTGGTTTATCAGAGTTTTCAATTTACCTTTAGCCCATGTAACCTATCGAATTCAAATTAATGTCTATACCTTGGTATAGGTATTCCGAAAATGGATTGGACATTTTGGCGCCAAAAAACAGGGAAAACCACAAAAATCACCGCAAAACTGTTAGAAAATTCTCTTCCCAACATTGTCTCTCTTATTGTGGAACTCACCTGCTGCTTAGTTGTTGCTGCTGCTGGTGATTGTTGCTGTATCTGCTGCTGCCGCTGCTCCTTATCAGAGACGAAGACGTTCGAGGTATCGGCTTTCGTAACTCGAGATGGAACGCTGAGCGAGATGGCGACAGACGACGAGTGGAAAACAACAATTAAATGTATATATTTTTCTCTCTATCTGTTTATTTGCTTGTGTGGATTCGCTTGGCAAATATTTAAACTGTGAATAGTTTAATTTACGGAGAGATCAGGTTGCCTGCCTGCCTGCCTGGGTGCCTGCTGTGTCGTCTCTGTCGTCTGTGTCTCTGGGCTCCTCTGCTTCGGACAGCCCCGGTGGCCGTGCGGCTTTGTCACCGACTTGTGCGCGGTTTTTATCGCATGCAAAGTTCTTGGCTTTCCCTTCGCTATCTCTCTCTCCGTCTTAGGCTCTGGCTGTGTCTTTGATTGACGATTGATTGATTGCGGTTTGATCCGTTAGTTGTTTTTTTTTTGTACGGTTGATTAATTAGAGTTCAAACAATAACAACATCAACAAGTAATCACGAAAAATAAAGCACAACTAAAAAAAAGGCACAAAATGGTATCGAAAATTATATCGAAAATCGTTAAGCGATCAACGTTTCGTGGGCAGGAGGGACTGAGGTTTAGGGCGGGACTGGTGGCTAGATGGAGATGCGTTTTTGAACCGTTTGGCACGAGCGGAGGCTCTTGACTGATTGTGGAAGCCCCCGTTCTGGCTGCATTTAGGCACGCTCCCGGCAGAGCGTGGCTGGACGCCAGCAGCGGCGTCGACAGGAACTGGGCGCCCCTTCTAGATCTTCCTCTCTCTCTCCCCCTCTCTCTGTCTCTCTCTCTCTCTCTCTCTGTATCTCTCTCCATCTCTCTTCCCAGTCCGGATGTGGTTCGTCTCGCCTGGTCGTCGTTCACGCTGTCAACATTTGCTGCCTCTGCATATTTTTTTTGTTAATACCCCCGAAAGGGTAATATAGTTTTAATCAGATACTCGCACATGGCATATTTTTGTCTTTGTTTGAACCATTTCCGCGAAGTGCAATAAATGGGACTAGAGGTCCATACATATATATTATTTAGTTTTTAGATCTTGAATCACGAGGGTATCAAAAATTCGGCTTTTAAATTAGAGCTTATCTTGAATATTTGCGTGTATGAATTTTGATCCTAAGAGATAAGAAAACTGACAAAAGCAGCTGCAGATCTGAGCGATTAGTAAGAGAGAATCAGAGATTATGAGGTGCCGGAAGGATTGGCTAATGACAAAAAAATGCACTTCAATCTCTCATTCCAAAGCTGCAGAGAATACAATCACATAATCGTATTGAAATCGACAGTTTTGCCTTCTGTTATTAAATGGCTTAACATTGCAACGGACACTTTTAGCGGTCTATGAGTTCCAATAAAAATGTTGAGCTACAAACAAATGTCCGAAATGATATACAAATGTACTTTCATACATATGTGCATATGTATATAAATATTTATATTTTCTCATTAAATAATACATTTCATTATATACTATTTTACATAGAAAAGCTGCAGAAACAAAGTGAGGGTCAAAGCTGGGGCCCCTTTGATTTCCTTCATAGTATTAATTTTGACTCTATGTCTCCATCCACAACAGTTCTCCCATACATTCCGCTCGCAGTAAGTGTGTGTTTTAATGGACGCTACTGCTGCATAGTTTGAGAAACCGACACAAAAAGAGTCAAAGAAAGAGAGATTTTAGATTATAGAAAAACTTTTAATACACATCCCTTCGCCATGTGGAAACTCTCTCCGTCAGTGGTTGGGCAGTTGCGAAATATATGAACGTCGCGGTCGGATGGCCTTATCGCACGATTGGTTATCAAAATGGTGTGGACGAGGACGAGGACGACTACGACGATGATGCTGTGCCGAAAACAACGCAACGCGCATGCATTTCGAATTCCACAGGGTCAGTGGGACAGACATGCTACTGTTTTTGGACAAAACCACCTGACAATGAGGCATCATGATGCTGATGCTGTTGCTGCACTTGCTCGGGCGCCATTGTGCGTGTCTGTTCATGCGTGTAAATGTTGGTGTGTGCCTGCCTGCCGTGTGCCTGTTCGTGTGGTGAATGTCAACCAACCAACTCTAGCGATCAGTGTCAATCGCATAAAAATCGCATGAAATTCGCTGCAAATTCTAGGAAAACATTTTTTTTTATGCAACTGGCACAAGGAGAGTAGCAGCAGCAGGAGCAGATACCACGCCCCAGCCCAAGCATATCTTTAATTATGTGCAATTTTAGTTTAGGGCAGCCAGAGCAGCATTTTGCCAGCAGCTACATGTTGCTAATACCGAACTAACGGTCAGAGCAAGCAACATCTGCTGCTAAAGGGCTTCACCGCGCCGCGCCCTTGACTCTGGCCTGGTCTGGAATATGTCAGTGAAAGCCATGCCAAAAACCACAAACTCCATTGGCCACGTTTGAGCACTGTCCTTGCCGCCTGGCCCGGCCTGGGCTGACGTCAGCACGTAGGAAGCAGCAGCTGCAGAAGTGACTGCAACTGCAGCATGTTGCCGCCTTAAAAGGTGAGGACAACTCTGCAACTGCCACCAGAGTTTTTTCTGCCAACATCTCACGCACGAAAGCTCCAGCTCAAGCTCCAAGACAGCAAAAAGTGGCATTTACTTTTTGTCTTTTATTAATTTATTTTAAGTGATTCGCAAAACTGAAGCCGAAATCGAAAAACCGAAAATGGAACCTTGGAAGCCCCGAAAAATGGTCAATCGATTGATTTAAATCGGAGATTGTATGGACAGGAGCAGAGCAGAGCAAATGTTTGAGCTCTGTTGAAACTACAATTTTGGAAACAGAAGAATTATAATTGAAATAATGATCCGCGTACAATGGCTTACACACCCAGTAAAGTCTTTAGGTACTAAATCGATGACATATGATTGTAACTACACAAAGAATAATTGACTGAAACAGAAATAAAACATCACCTTTGATGATCCGTATAGGGTCTTATTCTGGGTATATTTATTTCGGACGCGTCAAGCAGCAACTCCCTTCAGTCAGGGATCATTGCCTTGGTCAGCTCATGGTGAAATTAGTAACAAGGTGACGGATTCACCACAGTGCCTTCTCATGCGAGGAACACCTGCTTGTCAGTCGTTTGCCAAACGTCGACGAAAGAGGTTGTGTAGCGCACGATTTTTTCATTGTCTTCTTCTTTTTCTTCATTGTTTAAGAATGAAGACGTAAGCAGAAGACAATGAAATATGCAAGCAACTACTATTCTATTTTGGATGTGTAATGAAATGTGTATGCAATTGAATCTTTATTCAATTACATCTTTTTTAGAAACAAACATGCGTGCAAAATATTTTTTGCTATGCCGCTCCAAATCTTTACTTTGCTGTCAGCAGAAATAATAAAAGCGAAGAGTGTAGAACGTAAAACGTTTGCTATCTCTCTCTATCGCTTGCCTCTCTGAGAGCTGAGAGAGCGTGGTGAATAAGCTGGTGCTCCTTTACTCAGCGGACGACGTCACCTTGTTACTAAATTCACCATGGGTCAGCTCTTGGGTATCTTTGCCCAAAAAATGCGTAGTTGAACATGAATGAACTTTATTTGAACTATAAATGTATCTATTTATGTATGGTTTACATATTAGTTTAATGTATTTTTTTTAAGTTGTGTGGGAATATTCGAAGTGAATTCTAAGAACTAATCAGTGCTAAATACAACTTAGTCAAAACGTATTCGTATATCATATCATATATGCTGGCTAGGACGAGCTGCCTATCAGAGCTCTATCTGTCAGTATAATCTCCTCTCAAGAAACTTTCTGTATATATACATATACATGTATATCCACTGTATATACGATGTATGCGTGTATGTAAATGTAGGTCGATGTTCGATGATATCAATATGAAAGCAACCAAAATTCATCAATGTGTGCAAAAAATTCAAATACAAAAAAAATATGATCATGTATTATTAAATGTAATGATAAATGTATGTATGTATAGTGGAATATGCTGATCTGATATACATACATATGTAACTTATGTTCTCTATAGTAGGCCTAGACAGACTCTGAATAATTCAAAATAAAATCACATCAAATTCGCTGAATGGAAGAATGAAATAAATGGCCAAAGACGAAAGTCTATCTCTCTCTTTCTCCATGTATCTCTCTATCTTGCTCTCTTTCACTCACCGTCTCTCTCTCTCTCTCTCTCTCTTTGTGTGTATAAATCTATAGCATACACTATCTTAGAACAAAATGGAATTTAAGGATAATATGAATGAATGGGCAGACAGAAAGAAAGAGAGAGAGAGAAAGAGAATGAGTGTGGGAGGTAGAGGGTAAAGATGATACGCTGGAGGCAAGAGCTATGCTATATCAACAAATATACATAGTCATCCCCTTCCCCGCGATTTCTATAATTTTGGTACAGCTCGGGGCACACCTCTGCTCTCCATCTTAATTGCTTTGGGGAATGGCCTGGCTGGTTAATGGGTTGGGTTTTGGGGTTATCTATGCCTAATACTAATAGGTGTCTTGGTTTAAGATTCTCTTTTACAAACTTAACTGATTGTTGTACTAAATACATAGCTGGTTAATACATAGCTTACATATGTACGCAATTAACGATTAGCGTTTGTTCATAATACTATGAAATGCGAATTGGAAGAGCGCGAAAGGAAGTTTAGGTTTATGTTTAGGTTACAATTGTTGCTGTTTGCTGTTGGCGGCATTGCTGTTTAGGGTTCGAGCAGCTCGAACGCTTGGCGGTACTACGATATTCTACAATATATCCTATTGAAAAAAATATATTATAGTAACGAGGATTGCACACACACTGAGATTATGTAGTAGGAAGTAACTTAAACACGAAATGGAAGAGTTGTGTGGGATGTGGGTTGGGGCATGATGGAATGGGGGCTCTCATCGATGGGAGGGTGAATCGTGGATCGCCTGGGATCGCTTCGGGTTTCAATCTGTCACGCCCAGATGGACCAACTGCTGCATGGTGCGCTGGAGATACGTGGGATCCGGGAACATATTAAACTGAGTCTTGTGATCAACACTATTCCAGATGACCACATCCTCCCGGCCGGTTGTCACCGATCGTCCAATCGAGAACAGCAGGCGTCGATCGAAGGCAATCTTCAGGAAGCGCAACACCTTGCGGCCCAGCGGGCAGTCGGGCAGGTAGCAGATACGCGGAAAGCCCACGGCAAAGAAGGCACGGCCCGGATGCGGATGCTCGGACGTCTGTAGGCCAGAGGCAATGCTGCCAAATAGAGAATGTAGAGAGATATGTCTATAGATGATTACGATTACTTGGGGATATAGTATTTGATTCGATTCTCACTCGTAAACAATCTGTATGGTGTTCTGTCCCTCGTGGCCGGGCAGATTCTTGCTAATGATGCTCCAGGACATGCTGCCGATGGGCTGATTGCCCACCTTCTCGCCATAGACAATTCCGCACACAGGACACTCAATGAAGAGGTTCTGCACAAGCGACAAAGACAGAGAGAGCGAGAGAAAGAGAGAGGCGGAGAGAGAGTTAGCTTATCCTTGTCTATTCTATTCCATATTACGTACCTTGTTCATGTCGTTCTGCTGGTCAATTATCATGCCATTGAGGCACTGCAGGTGCATCAAATGCTGGCAACGACTAAGCGATATGGCCGGATTCTGGGCGGAGTGCACTAGCTCCTCCATGCACATAGGACAGGGCTGGGCATTGGGCCACAAGGGCGGCTCTACCACTTTCACGAATCGCGATATCATATCACTGGCCGGATCCACGCCCACAATCGAACCGGCGATTGATTGTTGCTGCTGCTGCAGTTGAAGCTGCAGCTGCTGCTGTTGTTGCTGTTGTTGTTGTTGCTGTTGTTGTTGTTGTTGCTGTTGCTGGTGTGGATGCAGCGGCAGTGGTGGCGGCACTGGCGCCCGTTCGCCCAGCGATGAAGGCGGCAGCGATGGCACAAACACCTCGTCACTGCCCAGGGAGCAATCGAGCAGATCGTTGACAGATATGGCAAAGTTGCGGCTTCTCAGGCTCTCTTTGCTCTCGTGGCTGAGGTATGTGGATACGGTGTCCACGCTCGGGCGCCGCCGGTGCGACTTGACGCTGTTGGTGTCCGTGTCGGAGGCGCGCGTTCGTGACCGGGACCTGTGCGACCCGAGACGACTGCTCCGCTGCGACTGCAGCGATCCCTCCGAACACCGGCTGTGATGGCTGTTCATCGACGAGGTCACAATGTTCTTGCCATGCGTAAAGTGAGAGCTGGAGATGGTGTGGGCGTGCGCATGCCCGTGGGCGAGGGCATGCGTGTGGTTGAGGGTGTGGGAATGTCCGTGCGTGTGTGGCATATGGCTGCTGTGGTGTAGCGTGTGCGTGGAGGCCGAGGCCGATGAGGAGGAGGAACTGGCACTGGCTGCCGGCATGCTCGAGTGCTTGGTGCTGCTGCCGAAGATGTTCAGATTATTGAGTATCTGCCGCAGATTGGTGGTGGATATTTCGCTGTGCTTCTTCGGCGGCTTCCTTGGTGCCGTCTGATGATGATGTTGATGCTGCTGCTGCTGCAGCTGTTGATGATGCTGCTGCATCTGCTGTTGTTGCTGCTGTTGTTGTTGTTGTTGTTGTTGTTGTTGCTGCTGCTGGGTATGATGATGGTGATGGTGTGTCACAGGAAGCGGATGCTGCTGCCGGTTCATGGGCATTCGATGGAGAGACTTGCTCTCCACCAGCTTCGGCAGCGTAGTATAGTTGCTGGCATTGCTGCTACTCTTCAGCTGGATGGCCTGCTGTGGCGTGAGCTTGACCAGCGGATAGGGTGCTTGCTGGGTGCGGCGAATGCTGCGCATGGGGCCGCTCGGCTGCCGCAGCTGTGTGAGATTACAAAAGTTGATGGTGTAGGGCAGTCCGATATTGCTGCGGCATAAATCCAACGTTTGCTCGCCCTAAATATAAGAGAAATCAGCTCAGATCAGTTGGGCCAGACAGGCATTAGCTCGATGATGACTCACCCGCGCCCAGGCATCCTCGATGATGCACTGCACATGCATATTGTAGGCCCGCCAGTCGGTGTTGCTGTCCGCACTGCCGCCCGACCACTCCCACTTGGTGCCTTTGCCTGCCGGCGAGCTAGGGGCATAGAACATGCGCCGCACCCCAATCGTTAGCAGGCCCGTCTCCGATTCGGCCTCCGACTCCTGGGTCATGGTACGCACATTCACGTAGTACTGCTCCAGGCTGGGGTCCGCGTCGCTCAGCATCACGCGGGTGAGCTTCTTGGCGTGCGCACGCTCCAGGTGCTGCGACACGGCCGGCGAGTAGGGCAGCCACTTGCCGCCGCGCGACTCAAACTCCCACACGCACACGGCATGGGTGTGATTGACGGGGGGCGGCGCAGGGCCAGCGCCAGGCCCTGCTGATCCGCCCGAAGCGCTGCTGGCCATCGCGCGCGCACACACACACACACACACACACCGATTGGGGGAAGGATGGGGGCGATGCACTCACACCATCGCTACAAATGGTTCCGCGGATCAATCTCTCTATGCTCTCTATCTTTATTTTCAATTGCGTGGTAGCTCCGAATTTTTGGCTGACACTGCCACTGCCACTGCGACTGCGTGCGACTACGAAGATGAGCACAAAATAAACAAAGAAATTAAAAATGGTGGCTTGCTGGCTGGGCTGGGCAGTGCATCGTTAGCTGACGCTGGATTGCGTATGCATAATGGTTTCCGATTGGAAGAAAAAAATCACTCGATATGGGTCGAAAACTAACTTAATGCGCACGGATTTGTTGAGTGAGCCTGAGCCACTTAATTAATTAAATTGATAGATATTATTATATTTCCTTAGCGATGGGTAGCGATGTGTTGTACTTGGTACAATTAAATATTATATGCGATGCGTTATCGATAGTATCGCAAGTATCACAAATGACAAATGTTATTTGCGACTGCGTGCAAGTGTGATCCTATCAAAGCAGTCTGTTGCCACTCCATGTGGCAACCAATAACGACAACACCACACAGAACTTGTATGCTGGGTTGATAATGAAAAACAATTTATTAACTTGTGTTTTCGTGCCGACGATTCTTTTTCCACTGATCTTTCTTATTTTTTATTGAGATGGGCGACAATCGACCATACAACCCACACACAGTTACGAAATATCGGTAGCAGGCTGACAATATTAGGGGTGAGAGCGTGTTGACGGTTAAAAATGTCAAATTTTTTGTATCATTAATGAACCAGCAACACGGTCTGTTGATCCTTTTAGCGAAGGATTTTATTTAGGAACCATGGTTTTGTTGAGGTAGAGGAAAAAAGTGAGCAGTCTGACCTTATTTTGGTGCTGTCTGAGTTCTATAATTGACTTTAACTTGAATACGAAACGTGACCTATCCCGCGTTGGTGGAAAGTGCCTGAGCGTCGTGTGCTATGCCCACCCACAAAGAGCGTGGATATATGAGGAGGATCTGGACTCTGCCGACGATAGCGAAGAGGATGAGCTTAAATGGCCGCGACCCGAACGAGCTTCATACCAGCAGCTTCGCGGCGCCTCGACAAGTGTCGGGCCGTATCTGAATCCATCCGATGATGATGTCGACGGCCGCATCAGCAGCAGAAATCTCCTATAAGGAGCTCAGGACGTTTATTTGGCATCATCGAAGAGTTGTCATTTACTTAATTGTGATGCACATTGCCAGCTTGTGCCTGTGGCAAAGGAATTTCATCTTTCCCGCTTTCAGATGATCGGTCACTAATCAATGTCAACTGGTTTCACAATGATTGCAGCCTCCATTCGATGCCAATCTGCAAGAGGAAGGCGAAGATATCAGCTACCAGCTGGCGCGGGCGAACCGTCAGTCTCAGGGTATCCTTTATGGTCTCCTCCACACCGATTTCTTTAAAGAACTATTTTATATTTCTTAATTGGATCAGGTGCGCAGCCGTTATCCGAAAATCCATTGATATCTATTTTGAATTGGGGGCATGGCTGAAACGCTTTCGAGTGACTGTTCAAACTTAACACACTGAACGCCCGCCTTTTAAATTTGTCCAAATTGGGGAAATAAAACTTCTTGTAAATGAATTTGAATGAGCAGCGTTTCATTCAGCCAAACTGCGCTAATAATCTTTAAGTTTCATTAATTTCTTAGTTAGCACTTAAACGCCCATTGGTCAACAGAAGCTTAATCAGTCACGGTCAATGACAAATTAAATCGATTCTAATATTCTGCTTAATATTGCCATCCAACTGAGACTCTCAGCCGTGGAACTACAATTTTCTACAATCGTTCAATACATTCGCCACAAGGTTGGCTTCTCTTTATGACATCTTTTATTGAATTGTTTACAAAAATACCGGTTTAAATGAAAGGGTTAGAAATAAAACTAATAAATAAACGCTACGTTTTTAGGGAAAAAGTGCTAAAAAATGACACCGATTAAATACCACACCACACAAAAAAAACCAGACAACAGCGAAAACAAAATTTATAATGACTATCGGAAGGTTTTCTCTCGTGTAAAATCGCACTAATATATCATTTCAACAATAGCAACCCTGAGCGAAAAAATAGCAACCCTGCAACGGCGCTGTCAACCACCCCATTTCCGCCGCTGCCACCATTCCTTTACCTTTTTGACTAGCAGACGTAAAGCTGGTCTTTTTTTGCGGCCCGCAAAAAATCTGCTGTTTTCGTTAGCATCGTTCAATAAAACCGAGTGACAATGGTTGTTAAGAAGGTAAACAGCGCGAGCAATCCAATGAACGCATTATTTCAATGCTTAAACCAATGCCTTGCAATACAAAACGTTTTGAGTTTGTGTTATATTTTTGTTTTGTTATTATTGTGTTGTGAGTTCAAAACTAATGTGTGCCCAATTCTCCGTGAACATTGCAGCCCAGGCCAAAGAAGAAGCCAGTGACCAAGAAGGTTGCCCCAGCTCCTCTGGCCGTCAAGAAACCAGTGGTCAAGAAGGTTGTCAACCAGCTATTCGAGAAGCGTCCCAAGAACTTCGGCATCGGTAAGTGGACTTGCTAACGACAGTGGACAACCACTAACGATGCTATCATCTTACTTTCAGGCCAGAATGTTCAGCCCAAGCGCGATTTGTCTCGTTTCGTGCGTTGGCCCAAATACATTCGCGTCCAGCGCCAGAAGGCTGTGCTGCAGAAGCGTCTGAAGGTGCCCCCACCAATTCATCAGTTCAGCCAGAGCCTGGACAAGACCACCGCGGTCAAGCTATTCAAGCTGCTGGAGAAGTACCGCCCCGAGTCTCCCCTGGCCAAGAAGCAGCGCCTCAAGAAAATCGCCGAAGCCAAGGCCAAGGGCAAGGAAGTGGAGCCCAAAAAGAAGCCCAGCTATCTGTCGACCGGTACCAACACCGTCACCAAGCTAATTGAGCAGAAGAAAGCCCAGTTGGTTGTGATCGCTCACGATGTCGATCCCCTCGAGGTGAGTGTCTGCGTATGCGCGTCCCGTTCCCGTGCCTAAGCTCGTGCCTCCCGTCTCTGACCAAATGATGTAGAACTTTGAATTTCTTCAACTGAAAGGCGCCCGCACTCTCAGAGTGTGAGAGGCACCCGCCATGTGGAAAATTGACAGCTGATTGTGTGACAAAGCAGAGACCCACGACTTACAAGCAAACTTTCCCCTCCCCTTCGAACACGTGCTTTAAGCGGTCGAACTAATTTCTGTTTTCTATTGCATTTTAGTTGGTGCTCTTCCTGCCCGCCTTGTGCCGCAAGATGGGTGTGCCCTACTGCATTGTGAAGGGCAAGGCTCGTCTGGGACGTCTCGTCCGCCGCAAGACCTGCACCACTCTGGCCCTGACCAGCGTTGACAACAACGACAAGGCCAACTTCAGCAAGGTCCTGGAGGCCGTCAAGACCAACTTCAATGAGCGCCACGAGGAGATCCGTCGTCACTGGGGCGGTGGCATCCTCGGCTCAAAGAGTCTGGCCCGCATTGCCAAGCTGGAGCGCGCCAAGGCCCGAGAGTTGGCCCAGAAGCAGGGTTAGAGATCACAGCTCAACAACAGCGTACAAGATCTATGCTATAAGGTGGAGACTTTAAGTACACATCAATGATTTGAACGGGCAATGACTATTTGCGCCTGTTCACTGAGAAACAATAAACTTTTAAGTGTACAATTTTTTTTGTATATTTTTTGTATGTGCGTGCGAGTGCTTGAACGATCCAACCACTTAAGGTTGGCGTTCAATAAATCATTTATTAGTTGTATTCTACATGTGATCACAAATCTTAGTAGCAAATCGAGAAGGGTCAAGGGTGTTTTCGAGTCAAATCGAAGCCTTTGAAGCTCATTGCAAGTCTGTGAATATTTCATGCGGCAGCTGTGTGAATGGCTTGCAACTTGCAGTGAATGTTTACTGATGGCTTGGATTACGCTCGAATTCGATCTAAAATATGAATTTCATCTTTCTATTTTGGCCATGGAATCTTTTTTGATCGAACTTTTAGGTTTGTCCAACGAACTCTGAGGAACGCAGCAGTTAAATGTGTGGCGTCCCATTAAAAATAATATACAAGTGGTGTAATTAGCAATTTGTTGTAATTTCTGTGGATAAAACATGTTTTTTGTTTGCAAAAACAAAATGCGCCCTCCCGCCACAGCTCCACAGCTGGAAGCGCGGTGCAGGTTAATGGATTGGAGTGGCAACGCTCTAACAGCTTGGCATGGCAACGCTCTGCTGCTTGGAGACACTAACCACTAAGCAAACAAGTGCACTAATCAAATACTATACTATTTGGTTAGAGATTAGAGACTTGGTCTGGCAATGCTCTGCCCCTTAGTTTTGCAACTCTTTGAAGCTGTGCGCCTTCGTCTGGCAACACCAGCCATAGCGGTAAATCCAAAGTTGTTATTTTTTAGGGATATTTTATTTATAGGAACAATTAAAACTAATGGGGATGGGAATCATATTTTGGAACGTTCCGCCTTAACAGCCCGCAGCTTGATGCTCTGAATGGCCTCGTGCAGAATGCTGAGGACCATGTCCACGCGCTCCACTGTGGCATTTTCGCCCATGAGGCCAATGCGAAAGACGTGCTCCACAGTGGGCCCCAGGCCGCCGCTGATCTCCACGCTATATCTGTGGTAAGCCATGGATTGGGTTAGTTTGGAGGAAGAACTGGATTTTGCTCCAAGAGCACTGATTTCTCTACTCACTTGCGCATGGCGTACTCTGCCACTTTCTTCCAGTCGACGCCGAACGGCACTTTGATGGTATTGACGGTGGGCAGGCGCTCTTCCTCGCGCTGCACAAACATCTCGAGGCCGAGCTCCTCGATGCCCAGCTGCAGGCGACGCGAGCACTCCTGGTGGCGTCGCACCACCGCCTTCAGTCCCACGGCACAGAAGTGCGCGAGAGCCTCCCGCAGTCCGTACAGCAGCGTGGACGAGATGGTGTGATGGTAGATGCGCGGCGTGCCGTAGCAGCCCCAGTACTGGCCGATGAGCAGGATGTCGAAGTAGTACACCTTTGGCTTGCTCTTGCGCTGCTTGATGTGTGTGAGGGCGCGCTTGCTGAAGGAGATGGGTGTCAGGCCGGCGGGGCCACCGAGCGACTTCTGCGAGCCCGTGTACACCACATCGACCTTCCACTCGTCCATGAGGAACTCGGTGCCGCCTAGCGAGGCCACAGTGTCCACCACCAGGAAGCAGTCGAACTGTCTGCACAGCTCGCCGAGCTCGCGGATATTCTGCTGAATGATGCCCGTCGACGAGTCACCCTGGGCAACAAAGAAGACGCGCGGCCGGTGTGTCTCGAAGGCGAACTTGATCTCCTCCTGGCTTAGGGCACGCCCAAAGCTGGCCTCCACGTAACGCACATCGGCGCCATACC